AAAAAACCAAACCAAGCCCAGCCCGATCCGATCCGACCCAACCCAATCCAAAGAGTCCCTCCCCCGCGTCCCGCGAGCCGCAAGCCACGCGCGCTCGATCCCCGCGCCGCCGCGCGAGGGGGTATAGATCCCGCTAACACACTCTCTCACACAACACACACAGCGACGGCAGGCGAGGCGGGGCGCAGCCATCGCGCCCGCTGCGAAAAAGCCACTCGGAACACACAAAACACAGACAACAACCCCCTCCCTCCTCGTCATGACACAACAGCCGCCGCCAGAGCACGACGACAGAACCACGCCTTGCGCGAAAAGACGCCCCGCTCGCCCCGCTGTCAAAACAGGAAACGCGCCGGCCCGATGCGGAAAACGGTAACGAGACGAAGAGAAGTGAAGTGAAGAAAAAAGTAAATGCGCGCACGCGCGCACGTACACATAAGCTCGCGCTCGCGCTCGCGCGAGGGTAAAAAAAAAAAAAAGAAAGAGCCAAAAATGGCGTAAGTAAGCGAGAAAAAACAAAGAAAATTGGTGGAGAAGAAAAAATAAAAGGGCGCGGCCTCCCCCCAAGGCCTTCCCGGCAAAGCCCGCAAGGAGAGGGAGGGCCGCGCGGAGATGAACAGCGGAGAGAGGTGGAGGTTTGGTGAAGGCCGTCGTATGTACTCCGTAGGTAGTAGTGGAGAAGGCAAGCGTGCGTGCTTGCGAAGTCGGGAGAAGCGCATCGAAAAAGAAGCAGCAAAAAAAAAACCCATGCGTGGCCCCGCCCCTCTCTCCCCTCCGGCTCCGATGCTGGATGGTGCAATGCAAGATTTACAAAAGGAAAAAAACACATCCACAGACTGCGACGACATAGGAAATCAAAACCGAGCAGAACAACCAAAAGCAAACACACAACAAAAAAAAAAAAAAAGTGGACGGACACACACCCCCCCTGCAGCCAGCGCAAAAGCCCATCTCCGTAGCCTGACAAAAGGGGAAAGGGGAAGGGGAGAGGATGTGCGTCCGTCCGTCCGCCCGCCCGCAGTGGACGAGCTTGCTTGCTTTGCCTGTTTAGCGAGCGCTCGAGCGTGCGCAGGCGCGCGAACCCATGATCGCCGTCAAGGCTGTCTCTCGAGTCCCACTTGCCTGCCCACCGCCAAAAGAGAGGGGGAGGGCATCGAACAAGTGTAAACAAAAAAACTCTGAAACAAAGAGATCGTCGCCGCTCGCGACGACCCCATGTTGAGAGGACAAAAAAACACCCGCAATAACGACAACAAAGAAGGCAGCAAGAACAGAACAAAAAACCACTGCGCGAGAAAAAATGACTGCAACGACAAAGGACCAAGATCTATTGCGGACACACGGTGTTTTCCCCTTTCCCTCCCCAGAGTAGGTACCCAGATTTGTCCCCCCCGCGCGCCATGTGGCCTCCCCCCCCGGTCCAACGCCTGAGCGACAAACGGCAATAACGACATAACAACAAAAAAGGAAAAATTTCGGGGGTATCGAAAATGCAACGATTGCGGGGGGTTTTGTCCCTGGCTCTCTTTCTCTTCTCTTTCTCTCGCTTGCCGTAAGATTACAACCTGCAAGCAATGGAATCCCAACGAGAACCCCCACTGATGTATGTGTGCGTGTGCGTGTGCGTGTGCGTGTATTTTTTTGCGCGTGTGTGCGTTTGGTAAACAAGCAGTTATGGAGAACCCGTTTGCCCCTATTTCATGCTTCCTCGCTTTCCCGGTTTCGTGACGGGACGAGGAGATGTACCCTGAACGCCAATTGATTTTTGATGGGTTTGTCTGTGTGACAAACAAAGGTGAATGATGATGGTAGTGACGACAACGGCCGTAATGATAATGGTGTGGTGGTGGTGGTGTTACATTAAGGGTCATGTGGAGATGAGGAGATAGGCGTCCTACTTGTCAAAGGTAGAGCTCCGACTAAAGTGGCCTACCGCGTCACCATAGTCACGTTCGCGGGCCTCCTTCTCCTTCTCGCGGCGCTTGCGCTCCGACGGTGTACGGCTGAAGACACGCTTGAGGAAGTCGCCTTTGCCCAGTGGCCGGGCCTCCTGCGACGGGCTCGATGGGTCCGTCGACGGAATGTGGTGTATTTGCATGTTCTCCTCGATTCCCACGTGATCCTCAAGTTTGATCTTGCAGAACAGGGTGCTGAACAAGTATTCCTCGCCATTGGTGTTGTACAACGGGAGGTGGCGGTACCCCTGCTGCAGGCTGCTGAGTTTGGCAGTAAAGGTAGCCAGTGGCACGTTAGAGTTGTTGATGCTCTTGCCGTCGGTCGAGTTGAACACGGTCCACCGGACGAAGACCAGGTCGGGATACCGGGTCTCAAGCGTCATGTTAATAGGCGCATTGAAGTTCGGGTCGTAGCCGTTGCCTTCGATGATTTGTGTACGCTTGCGTAAGGGTGCGCCGATGCCCGAGACACCATTCCGTGCTGATGCGTCCATTCCGCCTTCGCCAATGGCAGCGCCACGAGCCCTGTCGTTTGCGCTGTACATTTCAAACTCGACGTATGGGTTGATTGTTGCGTCCGAGCGCATACCGCTAGGCCTGGGAAGTTGCTGTGCCGAGATGATCTCAACGGAGAACTTGACCAACTTCTTCTGCTTCCTGCGTAAGCCGTCAAGGATGATGTCTCGGTGCTTTGGCTCCCGCAATTCCCGGGGCTTGAGGACATAACCGGTTCGATCAGTGCCTGCAGCAAACATGGCGTCGTTGATCTGCTGACCGAGATCGTACGTCTGCCAGTTCAGCGCCGCCATCTGTACGCCGCGTCGCCAGAACTTGATCGGGTCGAAATTGGACGAGTTGATCCTATAGCCCGAAGGGTAGACGCGCATCAGACAGCGCAGGTTGTGTTCCTCGAGCATGTCTCTGCTGCAAGCATCACTGTTGTCGAGCCTGTCAAACGTGCGCTCGGCGAAAGAGTAAACGTGATTGTACGTCTTAGCTTCGGAGGACCTAAAGTCAGAGAACTTGATGCCACGGGTATAAACGCCGAGCTCGCCAAGCACTTTGGTAATCTTGCTGTTCTTCTTCCTCTTCTTGTCCACTGATATTGCAGGAGGGCTGTCGCTGTCTTCGGCGGAACTGTGGAAGCTCGCGCCGGTTGACGTCGTGGAGGTTCGCGGGGTCGACCAAAATGTGCCGGCGCGTTCGGGAGGGCTCATTGATGGCGAGGTCGAGAGCAATGGGGAGTCAGGAATGGGCGAGTTGTCGATGGTGATAGGTCTGGAGAAGGGAGAGCCGAAGCTTCTCTGACGGGGCCGGGTCGTGGTGTAAGACTCGCCGACCACGGCCTTTTCGTCCGATTCTTCAGAAGACTTGACCTTGATCAGGATCTTGTTCCTCAACTCCTCAGGCGAGGGAAGGACTTGAGAGTTGTTCACCAACGGCTCTCTGATGAGTTGCTCGCCAAAATGGTGTTTCATGATCTCGGTCATCATAGCTTGCTGCTCTGGGTTGCAGTGGACTTCCAACGAAATAATGAGAGGGTACGGCGAAGACACGAAAGCGTATTTGGCGATCACGGAAATGCAGTCGGAAAAGAGCACACTGGTGGTCAGCGTTCGGCCGTGCACGACAATGGGGCGGCCATCGCTGCCGTCCCAACAATCGATCTCAATGCAGCGACACCCCTTTTGCAAGGCGACAATGTACGCCTCGGTGCTAGAGTGACCGGCGACTTGACGACCTAGGAGATAAGTGTTGTGAGAGCTTGAGATGAAGTATTCGTTGAGCGGGCGGTTGAGGAGACAAGGTTCAGACTTGCTCACAGCCAAGACGTGATTCGCAGGGGAGGTGAGAAACGACTGGAAACCCTGGAATGACATGGTAGCCGGCACCAAGGTCTCACAGCTCGAAGGGTACGCGAGGTTTTTGTTCCTCGACGTCCGCGCGAATTTCTCAAATACGCTAACCCAGTGGTCGAGGTCTGCGGTCACATCAATGCCTTGCCTTTCCCGTAAAAACTTGAAAAAGCTGGTCATGTCCAAATCCGCGTTCACACCCTTGATAGAGTCGTAAATCGGCTTGATATCGCGCCTTTCCTTCAACCGGCGTACGAAGTTGAGAAATTGGCCATACCGCAGATAGCCCGAATGTTCGCCAGCCTTGTCAAATTGAGCGCGTAATGCCGCCTCAGAACTGTTGATCTGCAGGCTCCGGCAGATTTTGACCGTGTTTGGGAAATCAAGCCTCTCCTCATCTTCGGGGAGATTCTGGCGTTCAAAGGTCCGCCGCCACAGGGTCTTGGCGGTCTTTTCGCCCGTGCCAGCAAGTCCCGCCATCATCTCAATGCGGCTTCTGGACACAGACTCCAACGTGCTCGTCCAGAGATTGAAAATGCAGTGGTTCGGAGCGATGAGATGCATGGTCTTGAAGGACCTGCCTTTTGATTGATCGGGATCCGCGTAAAGGATCGTGAAGAATCGATCTTCCTGATCGAGAGGGACATTGAACTCTTCCCGGTAGTTCCTAGCTTCCGACCCCACGCGGATTTCCCGAACGTCATCGACGTAAAATGATTTTGAGGGCCTCGAGGGATCCCAGCATACTTTTGCTGAGTCGAAATCGAGGCGGAATTTCATAAGTTGTTTCTTCTTCTTCGTGACTTTGGTAAGGAAGGTGCCCTTTTCAAGGAGAGAAGAGCGGATGGGGCCCACGCCACCCTCAGAGCTCGTCGACGAAGGAGCGTTCGACCGGCCAGCGGTGCTGATCCCCAGTCCGTTGATGCCGCTGAGGATGCTCTCCTGGGAAGTCGTCGCGTCATAGTCCTCGATGGCCTCTTCATCACCACCCCACGGCCCTTTCCCGCCGAGATCCAGATCCGAGACATCGCTCTGCGCGTCGGCAGCCCTGCTGTCGCTCCTCCTCCTCATAATCACAGGGCCAGCGCTGTGGTCCCGCCTAGCGCTGGAGTTGTTTCCGCGCTGGCGCGTCAGCCTGCTGTGAGCGCCGCGCGAAATGCGACGTATGAGGCCCGGGCTCTTGCTGAGGGCGACGGCTTCAGCCATGGCGCTGGGCGCCGACGTGGGCTGAGACACTGCCGGGTCCGGGAGAGGGGAGAAGGTCGACGGGAAGGAGGAAGGGTAGCGGACGGGCTGGAGGCCTTCCGGGGTGGTCTGCAACGAGAGGGAGGCGGTGGCGCGGACGTCGGCGTCCCACTGGGTGGGATTCGAGGTGGGACTGTTGCGCGAGGGGGAATTGCTGAAGCTGTGCGGGACTTGGGGGAAGGAAGGCGAGCGTGCGAAGGGTGCCTTGGGCGACGGGTCCTTGGGGCGAGAGCCGCCATTGTGGACGGGAGCATCGTGTGTCGAGGGGCCGGCGGAGGTGGTCATGCTGGTGTCTGGGTAGCTACGGCCCTACAGGCGTCGAGGACGGGACGGCATTATAGACGTGCAAACTGAAGGAGGATTGGTCGTGCGACCGAGCCACTTGGTGTCCGGATTGCTGAAGTGCGCTTGGGGCTGTCGTGTTTACCGCATATTGAGAGATGCGCATCAAGCGCGGGCGGGCAATGATGCGGCAGGTCAGCTGAATGGGATGGGAGTCGACGATGCGTTTGCGCGAGGCTGGGCCTGCAGGTTGCGTCAGATAGGGTAAGCGTGCATGAGCTCTCCACGCGCGGGCAGCCAAGCAAGATGCATGCAGGCGGGGAGCGGGCGCAGAAGACGTACCGGCGGCGCGGGCTGGGGGGTGGGGGGGGGGGGGGGGGGGGGGGGGGGGGGGGGGGGTGGAAGGATCGGGGTGGCTCGGCGGCGGCGGCTGGTTGCAGCGTGTGTGTGGTGGTTGTGGTGGTGGTGGTGGTGGTTGAGTGGTGGAGGAACGGCGACGTTAGGTGGTGGTGGTGAGAAAATGGCAGGAAGCGACTGGGAGCGGGATTGTGTGTGTGGGCGCGAGTCGCGGGAAGAAGCGTGGAGAATCGGCCGAAAAGGAGAGCGGGTTAATAAGATGGACGGGCGAACCCTGCGCAGGAGCAGGAGAACAAACAATTTCGAAACGGAACGTCATTCGGGGGGGGGCTTGGGGCGGCTTTGGCGGGCCAATTTCGAAAAAAAAAAAAAAAAAGCTTGGTTGGGGGTGTGCAAGGCGCAGTGCAAGTTGCAACTTGCCCTCGGCTGCGCTGCCTCACTTTTCTCTCCGTCCATCCAACTCAGCTTCAACTCTCTCTCTTCCTCTCAGGAACGCACACACACACGTGGCGCGCACTAATGCGCTAGCCCCGACGCTGGAACGGCCATCGTCATCGCTCCGTCCCCGGCGCGGCGGTAGCTTGTGGATCTCCCAAACACCCCCCATGCTCGCTGAGCCTCGTAATGAATGCCTGATGCCCGAGTGCCCTGCCCGCCCTGCCGGGGGAGCGTCCGCCAATCTCTCGCCGATCCCGCAGTCTTCTGGAAGCCTTTGCCAGAACAACCCCCTGAGCGCCCACCTCCAATTAAACCCCCCGTTCCCCACAATCCGCCAGCCTTGCCTGCGCACTGTCCCGTCGGCTGACTTGCAGCTCTGCCTGGGCGGTGTGTTGCTGCCATCTATACGTGGTAGACAAAACATCATCATCTCGTGACGCCTGCGGCCCGGCCAATCGTTGCCAAACCCTTCGACAGCCGGTCGCGCGACCATCAGCTGCTCGGCGGCTGCGTGCAACCCGCGCGGCTCCCGAGGCCGCGCGCCCGGGTTGGAGGAAGGCACTTTATTCAAAGCATCGAACCACCCGTCGTATACGTCTTGGCAGCCCGTCGCACCAGCGGCAACAAGGAACTTGGAATGACTTGCAGGCCCCGACGCTCTGCGACAGCCGACGGGAGGCCAGGGCATGCTTACCCCTCAATTGGGACCGCCGTGTGCCTTGCCAACCGCCCCCATGAACAAACCCTCGACCGCGAACGGACCCCGCCCATGCTAGCTTTACTATCTAAAACTCTCTCTTCCACCCCCGCGTCGAATCAAACAAGCCCGAGGCCTGTCGCCCGCCCTTTGGCCCCCACCGCGGTACATCCAAGATCCATATCAATGGCCATTGGCCCCAAAGCATATTGACCGGGGGGTTGTTGGGGCGGAAGCATCCTCGCCCATCGACGTCGCACGCACGCACGCACGCACGCATGTCAGGCGATTGCAGCTTGCTCTGCGTCGCACGAACATGCCAGGAATCTGCGCGACTTGCCCGAGCGGCGGGAGAGCCTCACAATGCTGCCCCAGGGCACTTTTGGTGGACGGCGCGCTTGCCCGCTCCCCGCATTGATAGCACGCCATGATATTGGCTTGCTTGCTGCTTCGCGACGCGTGACCCAGGCGATACGCCGAAGCTGGACTTGACAAGCCGCCGTTTCGCTGACGGCTGTAACGCGCTGACGCAGCCTATTGGAACTGCTCGGCACATCGGCAGAATGCACGTTGGCAGGACGGGCATGTTGAATGGCTTTCCCAATAGCTATCTGGACCACTGTCATGCGAAGAATGCGCAGCGACGTAACTGACCTGACACATGAGCCAAGGGCAGCAAAGATCGCCAGCTCTGCCGTGCCGGGTAGATAACGCAGAAGACAAGTTTGTTCTGGTGCAGAGAGTGCAGCATGACCGTCACTGGGTTCGCATGAAGTGAGCTTCATCGGCCCTTGCGCCTCTCCGCGCTCCCCAGCATCCGTGCGTCTATTCTTGAAAATTTCCTTTCGCGGCCGCTCCTCAACATTCCCCAGCGACTCCACAGGGCCGTTAAGCGGCCGATCATGCTCTGGACGGCCCAAAAAACTATACTGCCCATTTCTCGCCGCTTCTGATGGCACCGCGCGCGGGCCGGGCCCGAAAAAACGGTTTGCGCCAGCCACGCCGTGCCCGAACGGCTCTGGCTTTGTAAACGCTCCTTCAGGGCGTTCCAGGCGCGACTTGGCCTCCAACTGACTCACCAGCAATTCCATCATCTGCCACCATGGTGCCCGTGCCGTCCGGCGACGCGTGCCTCGTCCGGGCGATAGCCTCGTTAGTGCGCGCAGACAAGCCGTCTTCCGGTGAAGCTGGCCCTGGGTCAGTCTCATCCACACCGCTAGGCAGCAGATTGCGTTGAAAAGTGACAGAATGCACGCGTTCAGGCGGCGAAGGCGGAGCAGCCGAGCCGGCCGCTGAGAGGTTCACTAGGAGAGAAGGCGCAATTTCAATTGCAGCCCCGCCTGCAGCACTTACCCCCCATTCGGGCGTTGCGCGCCTTTCTTCATATCCATTGTCATTTCCAAAGATGAATTTCTTCCATACCGCTTCTGCCGCTTCCTCATCGGCATCGCCGATGGCTGCGCACTGGAATGGAGGTGCTGCAGGGTATTCCTCCGCAAGTGTTCCGATTTGACGAAGAGACGCAGGCAGCGACCCTGAGAAAGAGCCGTCGGATATGCTCACCGATGCTTGCGGCAACGTGCTGTACGCGACGCTTGAGTGAGGCGCGGTCGCATGCGTTGGCTCGTCTGAGCGAGCCGCCTCGTGCTGGTCATGACAATTCAATGCAAGCCCCTCGTCGATCACGCGCTCCGAATCAAGGCTTGCATTTTCCTCGCCGTGGACGGAATTGCCGCAGCAATTCGAGGTGACATTCCAGTCGACAGGTTCGGAGCGCCCAGGTCCGGTTTGTTGCGACCTGTATGACCCGTCTGAAGCGAGCTCCAACAGCTGTCTCCATGAGACATCAAATTGCTCAATTGTCCCTGAATGCACGCGCTGCTCGGGTGATCCCGCATGCTGTGGCTCCTTTTGTGACATCTCCAAATCCAGTTGGCTCAGGCGATCATTCGATTCAAAGGAGACAGACCTAAAGAAGAGACGAGGAGGTTTTACAGACGGCGTCCGACAGCGCCCTTGTAGGACTGAGTCCTGCATCCTTGGAGACCCTAGATAATCATTGCTTGGCATGGGATACGGTGTTTCGCAAGTCTTCTCGAAGTACATATCTGAATCCTTCAGCTGGCGGTCTTGGCGATCGCCTGTGTGTGGTGGTGCAGCATCGTGGCTGCTTGAGAGGACGGATTTCGGCATCTGTGCAGGATACATAGAAGAGCTTCTGTTAACCTCTTCCAAGAGCCTATCCACGTCATCAATATCATTGTCGCGCTCATTATTTCGTTGCTCTTCTCCGGCACCAGCAACATGGACTGGTGCTGTTTCGCCATTCTCTTCTACCGGCCATGAAAGATGTGAGATCGGATCTCTCTCACCGTGGCTTTGTTGGTGCACCAAAGCCAGCTGTAGTGGCTCCTCGTCGTCCAAAAGCATGTCGTCAGACTGTGTATCAAGGCGTGCAGGCTGCTGCGACTCGTACTCGTACCCCCACGGCGACTGCTGAGTCGCGAGTGCCTCCGTACCGATCCTGATCCTGATATCCTCTAAATCGTTTACAATTGCTCCACTTATAAAGGGACCGCGACGCGTGTCTTCAAGGAATGTTTCGAGTTTGGGCACCTCCGGCATGTCGTATGAGTCTCGGTCGTTTCTATGAGCACTAGTGAGCTTCCGTTTCGCGTCAATCCGGTGTCTCTTCCCAATACGTTCCTTCTCTTTACTCGAGCCGAAGCGCATATGTAAAGGCTTCGATGGTGCAAGCCCTACCCAGTCGCTATTTGCTAAGAGTCTTTTCTTTTCGCGTTCCAGTGCGTCCTCATTTTCGATACCCGTAGGGTGACGCGTTTTCGTTTCACCTCGGCGGTGCGCGCCCTGTTCCCTCAAACGCGGTGATTCTCGCCCTACATTAGCCCAATTGCGCGAAACCGCCGCGATATCTGCTGAGATATCTGTCTGCCGCTTATTTGTCGAATCTGGTGGGCGAGCGGCACGATCCCGCGCGGCGTTATTCCCTGCGTCGGAGTTACGAGTCCTGTGTCGAGGTTTCAGAGAGCTGAGACGCTGTGTTATGGGAGCGAGCGCATCGTATTGGTCGAGTGTCTTTGGGGGGCGCTGGCTTTGGTGCGACGACAGGATATCGGACTCGGCGATACCGCCCGGCTGCAGGAATATCGGTCGGAACGGAGACGAAGACGGACGGTGAGTGCTGTTCTGCAGCTGTGTGCGGGCTTTTGCAAAGTGTTGCTTTTGACGTTTGGTCAGACCACCTTTGTTTCCCGAGTGCCTTTGCAGCCTCCCGCCAGTCCAATTCATCTTCATCCCACAGAGGATGCGACGTGACGCAGCTCAAGAAGGAGCGAAGGTTGAACCCTGGACGCGTCCATTGACGCGTTCACCTCGCATGTTCCCGTGATTGCCCCTGTGTTCAATGTTCTCCCTCGTCTTTTTCTTACATGTAATTCCGCTGATTTTCTTCCCTACCTTGACCATCAATTGACCTCATCCCAACAGCCTTTTGAAACATCAAGTGTCCTCCTAGTCCCTCTTCCAGCCAATTTTGTGCCCAGTTTTGGTTATCAACCCCTCCATGTCCATCAGTCTCTCTCTCTCCTGACGCCTGACGTATACCAGTGGGCTGGCATCGCAAGTTCAACTCCCATCGACCGATCTGTGTCGAAGAAGATTTACCAAGTCAGCAGTGCGAGTGTTCGTAGATCACTTAGCTGGCATGTCTGCCTACCTACGTAAACAACCTTCGCAAAAGTCATCACTCGGTTGTCTACTCGATACCTCCAGTGTGCTGAAGCACCAGCTGACGGTAACAGGGCAAGCAGGAATATGAATACCAATCAACTGAGGTATTTTCGGGAAACACTGCGATCGCGGACATGCCAGGCGATAATGTAAATCGTCCATGCCAGGATTGCGCTAAATAAATCCCACCTTCAGTGCTGTTCCTCCGCGTTCTAGATCCCCACAAACGTCATTCACCGGGCGAGAAAATGTCCGACCATCCGCGACGGTCGCAATGGGGTGGACCCCAACAACAGGCCCACACTGTCTGCGTGTTCCAATGCTAGCATCGCGTTGAGACACGAGCATCGCGTGCACCGATGCCGAACAACAATCTAGCCATGTGGCTGTGTGGCAGTACACGGGCCATGAATCCTCATGGGCGGTAAAGAAAAGTGCGGAAGACGGAAGCACCATAGCTTATCTCGATCGCTCGATCGATAAAACTTGTCTCTTAGTCAGGGACAAGTCGAGCGTGCGGATAACAACACCCAGAGCAACAGTGAATGCTGTAGAGTACAGTTTCTGTGCAGCAGCGGGACAGGAATTCACTCACACTCTGTTGGACTGGACTTCGCTGTGGTTCCTGACGTTCCAAATACATCAAGCGAATCTGTTAATGCAAGTCGCAGACTGGCCACGACTATCGACCAGACCTCTTGCCTAGGCGGTCAAACTTAGCACTGCCCCATGCGCAATGATGTCAATCGACTGCAGTCAGCGCGCTACGTTCACTGGCAAGGATCACTCCCCATTTCATCAAACTGACGTTGAGCACATACAATGCAGTAAGGAGTGCATGCGCTGTACGTGACATGTGAAAAACTGCGATAAGGAAAAGTTACTCACTAAGCTATGCGCAGGGCAAGATATGATATTAGTACACCCTAACAGTCGTGGGCGTAAGCAGAACGACATCACACATGCAGCCCGATGCCCAACCCTGTAGGGAGCATCGAGCTGAGCCGAGCCGCCAGGAACGGCTGAGAGCGACCACGCGGCGTCAAAACGTTACAACGTGACATCCAGGCTGAGGAGGTGCCTGGTAAGGCCTCGTCTCGGCCAGTGCAGGACGAGCCGGATCTACAGAGGGGCAACTCGGGGCGGACGTTAAGCGACAAGGAGCAACGATTGCCAACGAGTCTCCCCAGTCCCCAGACTGCGACCTGAAACCGCCCCAGCGAACCCCCGGACTCATCTTGCCGAGATATTCTCTAGCCGCGACAGAAGTAGTCATCATCAGCATAGGGCGCAGCCCTCCGCCCGTCCCTGACGAGGCGACGGCGAGTCCCTGCATGCATGAGAAAAAATAATGTTCAAGGGTCGCTGTGTCGTGAGCGGCGAGCGCGTCTAGGCTGTGGGCGATCCCAAAACGGTTGGGCAGGCGAGCCTCTCGACGTCACTGTGGGTCATCAACACCACAAAGGTGACAGCGACGGCAGATTAAGGCTGTTGACCGTGCACCGCTCGGCATCCCAATCACTCATGACGCTGCGACGCCGGCACACTTGTCTCGGACGTTAGGTCCGATTGCACCATGCTACGGCCAGATGGCAAACTAGCGGCACGCCTACCGCGGTGTGAGCGTCCATCAAAAGAAGTTCTCGAAGAGCCGTACTCGTAGGGTTTACGGAACAGCACCGCCCTCTGAGCCGCCTGATGGCCTGGCAGCGGGCGAAAGCAACGTTTCCATAGGCACTCTGAGGTCATTGACGCACGGCCATAGCCCTGGCGTCTATCATGACGAATCTCAAGCCTGCATTCGCCCTTGTGCCGATAAGGCTCGTGCTAGCGCATTTCACCTCTGCAGAACCGGACCACCAACTAGAACAATGTGGAGTTAATAACGCAGTCGAGGCGGAGGCCACCTGTCAGGGATAGCTTACACTACTCTATCAAGCCGCTGAATGACATGTGCAAATTCACGGTATTGCTCATCCCGATCATCGATAAATATCTCCTCTACCTGGTCTTTCCCATGTGCTTCTCCCCTGGTTAAGGAACATACACTCCACTCGATCCACTTTTCTCTCCGCACCTGAGCGTGTCTGGGCAATACCACATTCTCCATTGTTCTCACACATTTATATCTCGGTGCTCCCCAGCGCTACTTCTCATTCCACGCTTGTCCTCCAAAAACCTCGGGTGCTTTCATCTGGCCTCAGCGCTTTCCACATCCTATTCACTTCTCGGTTGTCTACCACAAACAAACATCCACAATGGCAACCCCTCAGACTCTGGCCCCTCCGAGGCCGCGCATGTTGCGCAGAATCAGCTCCGACATGGCTACCAGCCAACAGCTTCAGGCAAGGACTGGAGCCACTGTTGTGGTGCCCCCTGCCCACCTCATGGCCTCGTCGAACGGCTACGAGACTGCGGCTGCCATGGAGAATGCCAGAAATGCGGTCGATAGGTCCTCCACCTCTACCCCAGAGTCGCCCAGGGAGACCCTCGTCACGGACAGGTTCGCGTACGCCTTTGATATTGACGGCGTCTTGATCCGTGGAGGCAAGGTCATCCCTGAGGCTATCGAGGCTATGAAGTTGCTCAATGGCGAGAACGAATATGGCATCAAGGTGTAAGTTTACTTCTGTTTATCTACGGGTCAGAGACGGAGCTAATCCAAAATAGTCCCTACATTTTCGTCACCAACGGCGGCGGAAAGACTGAGGCTGAGCGTTGCATTCAACTAAGCCAGCAGCTTCAGATGGAGGTTTCTCCCGGTCAGTTCATTTGTGGCCACACTCCCATGAGGGAGATGGCCGACAAGTACAAGACTGTTCTTGTCGTCGGCGGTGAGGGCGAAAAGTGCCGCACTGTTGCCGAAGGTTACGGTTTCAAGGATGTCGTCACCCCTGGGGACATTATCAAGACGAACCCGGACGTTACCCCCTTCAGGAAATTGACTCCCGAGGAGTGGGAGAACTCCAAGGTTCGCGACTTTGAAAACTTCGACATTGAAGCCATCTTCGTCTTTGCCGACAGCCGTGACTGGGCCTCGGACCAGCAGATTATCCTGGATCTTCTCATGTCCAAGAACGGTCGCCTTGGTACCCGCTCCGAGACCTTCGACGAGGGCCCGCCGGTTTTCTTCTCTCACAACGATGTTATTTGGAGTGCATCTCACGACCTCGCTCGCATTGGCATGGGTGCTCTTCGTGTGTCTCTCGAGGCCATGTTCAGGGCCGTTACTGGCAAGGAACTCAACACCACCGCCTTCGGCAAGCCTCAGATTGGTACTTTCCAGTTCGCTACTCGTCTCTTACAGCAGTGGCGCAAGGATGTCCACGGAATTGACCAGCCTCCCGAGACCGTCTACTTCGTCGGCGACACCCCGGAGTCTGACATTCGCGGCACCAATGAGTTCAACAAGCACTCCGAGAACACATGGTACTCGATTCTTGTCCGCACAGGCGTTTACCAGGAGGGAACCAAGCCGAAATTCACTCCCAAGGCCACCGTGGACAATGTCCTCGAGGCGGTCAAGCATGGCATGGAGCGTGAGTATGAGAGGCTTACGAAGGCCGCTCAGGAGAAGATCGACTCCGCCCAGGAATCGGAGTAAATCACGATTGCATATGACATGGGTGGTCAAGGCGCAGGAACTACAGGCGTTTAGATTTGGGGTTTGTTTCCTTGGAGTTACGTTTCCTTTTTTTCCACGAGCGATGATATCCCGACCACAGCGTCCCCCGGGCGCAGTACGCGGCATAGCACATAGCTTGCACCGACAGCTAGATAGCCAAGAGGCCGCGTAGACGAAGGACATTACTATAACGAGTATTATTTTGCAGCCATCGACATCTCTCGCTTGACAGGCAGGCCACTACGGCAAGGATTCGAGGCATAAGCAGAAGAATCAGAAAAAGATGATCAAAAAACATAACCATGACGAGCCAGCGTGCCGCAGTGACCCCTCCATGTTCTCGTTCTCCACAGTCCCACCCGCAACCCGAAGTCGCGGTCTTCCGACCGATCGATTCGAGCTCCCTCCCTTTCCGCGTCATAGGCCGGGGGCGTTGTCTGGGTCAGGAACCCACACTCCAACCACGGGTAGTCGGTTGTCCAGTCAACAGTTTCTCACGCACACAACCCCTCTTCTCTCCCTCCCTCACTGCAAACTGCGCCTCGATAGTGGACCCCGCCAAGTTCCAACACCACATACCAAGCCCAACACCCTCTTTGCGAAACAAACCAAGCCGCCCGCACACCCGTCTGCAGCGCCGTCTCCACTTTGTTCTGCCCCCTCCCCGATTCCTTCGAATTCTCCGCTTGGCCCCAGGCATAAACGCCTAATTTAGAACCTCGTTGCGAACGCGCACACAATGACTCGCCTCGCCTCGACTCGCCTTGACCCGCGCTCACTCTCACTCTCACTCTCACCCCGCCCCGCCCCCGCCCCCGCCCGCTAACCTGACCCGCTCCATCAGCACAGTAATAATAGCGCTCGTCTCACATAACCCGGCCTAGGCAGACACTCTACTCCTCGTCCTAGGGCCGACCGAGGCAGCGGCAGCGGCAGCACATGAACGCCCGTCAACAGGCGTATGTGCTGGATAACCATTATTGACTGACTGGCATACAGACACACAGACACATCGCAGACACCGATGACAAAGCAGAGGAGCGCCACCAGCGCAAGCAGACCCCTCGCTACACACACACACACACACACACACAGAGCGCGATCGGCGCGCCCTCTTCCCCTCCCGGCCCAGCGGCGTAGGGCAGGACGCCCAGGCGTCGGTGAAGCAGCCGACACGCCGCGGCAAGCCGCCACCACATGGCAGGGCCTTGGCTACTCTGGGCGAATCCTTCGGCCGTTCTCTGCCGAGCTGCGACGGCAGGTTTGCCGTGTCTCGGCGGCAGCGGCGACGGTGGTGTGGTTTGTGGTGTGGAGGGGACGTGGACGCTTGCCGCTGCTGCTGACGCGGGGTCGAGGCGGCAGAGGAGGAGATGATGCGGGGAGCAGTGCGGGGTGCGCACGCACGCACGCACGCTCTCCGCGCTCGGTTTGTCCCGATCGTGCCCGCAACTCGCTCGCGCGCGCGGACGTGGGCGGTGTGTGCTGTCTGGTCTGGGGCAAGGCCGGGGGATGAAAGAGGGGTACATACATACATACATACATACATACGTACCTACCTACCTACGTCGGTCTGGCCCGGGGGCGGAGGTATGGACGAGTGCGTCCGCGCGTGTATGTATACCTGCACCGGTACGTACGTACTGCGCTCGATAAGAGCGTAAACGGTAAAGCGGGCAAGGTGTTCTGTATACGGGTAGGTAAGCAGGTATATACGTTCGAGTGTGGAGCACGTACAGTAGCTAGGTAGGTAGTGTACAGTGTACATATGCGCGCAGCCAGATGCGAACACGGAGGCCGCATGTCGCCACCTACGTATCTGCGCATCGGATCTCAATCGCCATCGTCTCCACTTTCTGCCTCCTTCTCTCCGACGCACGCCTACGTACACACATATGTACATACAAGGGCGCGCGCCATATCTATCCATCTCTCCATCTACCTAGCTAGCCAAACCACCAGCCTAGGAGTATGTAGCCCCCACGCCGTCGCACGCACGCACGCCACGCTCCCTGCGTGCCACCAGTACGCCTAAGGTACTCTAAGACCCAAGCCTGCGCCAGCGCGTCGCGGTCGTTTGTCCCAACCCAACAGCACCAGCGCCTGGGTTGCAGCTACTACCCAACGAAGGCAGAGCAGCCGCAACGAGCTACATACTACGCCACCTGCCCACCCATACAAGGCTCTTCCCTTAGCCGTCTTCGCTCTCGGCCTCTCGCTTCGTGCGCTAAGAATAGCAGCGCTGCTCCGCCTGCACGCATGCGCGTGCGTCGAGGCAGGTACATACAAACCTGGCAGAACGGAGCACTCCGATGCCGTACGTATGTACAGTACCTAGGTATCGTACATACACAGCCACGCAGCCCGCAGGCAGGCAGGCAGGCAGGCAGCAGCGCGCACGCACGCTTCGGCCCTTTCCCCCTGCACCTCGCTCGCGGGCAGACGGGCAGCAGCGACGCGCTATGCGGTGGGGGCCAAGGCCAAAGAGCAGCCGTTCGCGCGCTCCCAGCCTGTCGACAGTGAACTGTGGATAGTGGATAGTGGCAGGAGTGGAGACACGCAACGCGCGGGCTTTGCGGGGCCCCGCTGCCTAGCTGCTGCCCCACCCCCGCCCGTTGCGCGTTTCACGACGCGTGCGCGCGCGAGTGCACGTATGTACATACGTGCGTATCTATGTACATACCTATGTGCATACGTATGTACACCATATGCACGCGCACGCAGGCACGAGCGCGTGCGGGCCTGGCAAGCCTGCAAGTGCATGGCCGGGGATGCTGGGTCTGGGTCTGATACCTGTGCTGCTGATAGTGATATATGACAGCTGGAAAAGCGAGGGAGGGAGGGGATTGGCGCCGTTGCCGCGCCGGCGCTTGGGTACATACATACGTAGTTTTTCTGTACTGTGCCTAGGTAGGTACGGGGTATATGTGCTTGGTGCTGACGGAGGCGAGGCGAGAGCGTGAGCGGGAGGTGGAAGGGAGGGGAGAGGGAAGGAGACGAAAGGAGAGGAGAGGAGAGGAGTGAGGGTGGAATGCGGACGGAGGGTGCGGTGCGGCGCGGCTGGGGAATCAGCACTGGGCTGGCTGGCTGCCTGGCAGGGCGCTAGGGGTTTGGGGAGGTTTTGGGGATGCGTAGATGAACGGGCTGCGTGGCTGGCTGAATGGGTGGATGGATGGATGTATGGATGGGCAGATGGAGGATTAGGCAGCTGCTCCTGCCTCCTGCACCCCGTACATACACGTACATACGCCCTGCGTCGGCGCGCATCGCATCTCCCTCAGCAAAGACGACGATGACCAAGCTCGGCGACCAGGGCCGTCGCGATCGAGCAGAGCGCGGAGGAGTTCTAAGCAGGACGATGAGCAGATGAGCAGCAGGCCCCTCCCTAGGGCAGCAAGGATCGATACCCCACGTGCAGCCAGCGCAGCAGCAGACGGCATCGAGAGCCAATACGCCCACGCCAACCCAGCAGCAGCCTCACCCTCTGCAGCCCACGCCGCCATTGGCCCTCCCCGCCCCACCCCTCCTCGTGCATCCATCCTACCCTCCCACCCAACCCCCCCGGTAGCGCCGCATAGCGCAACCTTCCGCACGGGGCGGTTCGTAACGGCGGAGGCGCCAAGCAGAAAGGCGCGAGACGGCCGGCAAGGGGCGGCTCGCTGGCACGGGCTTGGCGGGCGGTTCGCATGCACCGCCGGCCAGAAGCGTGCATGATCACCGGGGCAGAGCAGGGCACTGGGGCAGGCAGGGCAGGGGCGCGAACACGATTAACGGCCGCGTGCGGGAGCAGCGCTGAGCCGACCCGGGCTCGGTCATGGCCGTGGTTCGTCGGAGCCAGCTCCTGGCTCCGCTCCGCGGCTTGGAGCACAGGGGGTCCTGGGGCAGGGTGCGTAGTGCGGCGCTTGCGGACGGGCTGGGCTGCTGACTGCGACTGACTGCTGCTTCTGCCGTTGTAGCTAGGTAGGTATGTACCTGTACACTGTAGTGTAGGATTGCAGAGTCGTCGTCTGCTGGCTTGCGAGTGAGGCGGACGGGGTCTATCCTTGCGCGGTCGGACGATTATGATGCCATATGGCAGCGAGGGGGCCTGGATTGCTACGGAAGAGGTGTACGGAGTATGCATTCGAAACGCCAGAGAAGGAATGCTATGTGGAAGGACAGAACTGGTGGAGGGGATGACAAAGCAGAAGCCAATGACTGAGAAAGAAAGACGACTGTCACTTGTGAGCTGAGCCGCCGCGGCCCATTGTCCATCATCGTTTATGCCTGCTTAATTCGAGCAGGTTCCCGTGCGTGCATGCGCTTGCCGAGCCGCCCTTCAGGCCAGGTTGTCCTCCCTCTTTTCGCTGAAGGTGGTGTACGTCTCGCTCGTCTTGTGGGATGCAGGCGACAGGCGAGCGGTGAGTGGACGAGTTGACGAGCTCGAGTTGTTGCGCGTGTCGCTCATGCCGCTGTCGCTGCTGTAGTTGCCTAGCAGCTTGTGGTGGGCGTCGTGGCCGCGCGAGGCTCGGTTGCGATCATTCGTCGAGACGGAGGCCCAAATGGCCGAAAGAGGCAGGAAGATCGCAACTACGGTGGGTACCTGCGAACCGAGGTAGGGCGTGGTTGTGCCATACTGCAGAGCGGAAAAGATTGCTATGCGCGATGGTCAGATTAAAACTTCAGCTTGCAGTGCCAGTGACATGGCTTACATGGTACGATTAGAGTTTGGCATCCCATGACGAAGATAATTTGCATGGGCCCAAACTGGATGAGACCGAGCCTGCGGCGGTTCCTGATTGCAAATGCAAGCTTGGCGCAGAAAATAATCGAGAAGAACCAAATGCTGACAGACGTGCTGATGTTCGCAGCACTTGAAATCCTCTGCTGAAAGGCCATGCCCTCGTCGCGCAGAATGTATTGCACGTTGACAACGGTTAGGGCGAATCGCAACCCAATTGTGGTCAACGCGACCAACGAAGAGAGGATCATGACCGCGGACCGACGAGTTCGTTCCATGGTGATACAGACTACGTGCACCTGCATTACGAGAGATATTTCGATGCAGATGCAAAGAACAAGCTGAAGAATAACGGTGGTGGCAGAAGTGGCATAGTCACCGCGTGTAACTCTAGAGTAGTCGTTCGCAAAGACGGCGTATGGGTGGTACCAAGGACTGGTATAGTAGAGACACTGGAGGACCGAGCGGACAACGTTCACCGCTAGAGCCAGAATGTTGAAGACGAAGATTGGAGAACGGCGTTTCTCGCGCTTGGTGAGAACCAAAAGGAGAAGAAGGAAGACAAAGGAGGCTCCGAGTTGACTTGCATAGTTGATGCAGACCTTGATGGCATACTGCGTAAGGTTGTGGATGTCCGACATAAAGAGCTCAACGCTCTCTCCGTGCTCGGTGACTATGGTGATTTGTTGGTTGAACGGATCGATTCCGGTCGATTTCGTAGAGGTCGACTGATCTGCCATGATTTTCGTCGAAATCCAGTTGAACCCAGATGGTGTGAGAAGGTTCCGACTTCAATGCAAATTCGCAAAGAGATCGAGAAAGAGCAAAACGACTTGTTTGGAGGAAGTTGGGAAAGAAGACAAGCAAATTGTAAAGAAGATAAAAGGAAGAGCAATGAAGATGAAGGAGACAATCCCACGCAGACAATTCTAAAGGGGTCCTGAAGTGTAAGACAGAGAACAATATCAACGTACATTTTCGGTTAGTGCAGAACAATACTAAGAAGTTACACTTTGGAACAGAAAACATCATAGCAGTAGACCCCTGCTTATGTTCAGAAAGGAATTAAAACAGCAGGAAGATGTCAAATCGAAATGAGGCTATCCGTGTTGGTTGGTCATTTTGGGGTGAGCCGGCCCACAGCAAGCGGACTTGGAGCGAATTTTGTCTCCTTACAGCTCAAAACCACCGAACTACTGATGCCACTCTGCCGTGGCTCAGATGTACTGTGCCCATTGTAGGCATGCGGGAAAGCAAGTATCCAGAGATGCGCTTGCTATTGTTTCTTGCAGAGTCACGATGAAACCTGGGCCAGAGCAATAGCCCATCAGCGCAAAGCGGCTTCCATCATCAGCCTGTTTCTGGGTTAGCGTGTGCTGGATTAGCATATTTGCTGGGGCATTTGGAAAAAGCAGCAGTAGAATAGGTAATCGATGAGTTTGGTTGGGAGAGTTTGGCGTCACGGCGTTTGGTGTTGTGCCGGCCGTGCTCGCAAGTACGGCGACCGTGACCAGGTTTACGCATGACCCTGATGCCGTCACTCGCTTCGCCGCGGCATCGTCCCGCAGCTCGACAACAGCCCTATGAACTAACACCCACTCATGGGGCCGCCAACAACCACGCTACGATAGATGGCCAGCCCTCCGCCCTTAGTCCTCCTTTTGGTCATCCTCCTATTCCTCTATTTAACGCCTGATCCTGCGAGTCCCGGCGAGTCTCACCGACTTGAGCGCACTGTCGACCGCGAGCGCGCCGCTCTCGAAACACTGAACAACTCCACGTTTGGAGACTTCTATCTTGATGGAAAGGAGGATAAATGGTTGAACCTGACTGGGTTCAGGAAGGAGCATGGCTTACATTGGAGCTTGTTGGAGTCGGTTCGCAACAAGGCTAGACAACAGACGAGATATGTGCTAGGAGAGGATACGGTTGGCTTGATCGACGGAAGCAGTACGGCTTATCCTGCGGTATATCACAACGTTACCGGCTTCATCCAGGGCACTTGGAAGCGTACGGCGAACTATGACGGCCCGCATTTGAACCTGTCCGCCATCACACCACATAACACGTATTCCTCGGAGGATTGGAATCGCAACGTGAGCGCATTAAATGGGGATATCAGGATACATTTCAAGGAGAAGGAAGACCCTAAAGATGTCTGGAATGACTCGGTCCGTGCCATTAATGCGAGGATAACGCTCGGTGAAGACACGCCGTACGGGAATTGGTGGGAAATGCGGCTCCTAGGAGTGCACCTGGTAGACACTGGAGCTATCGTGCTCACCACAACAAGTGAAAAGTATGCAGCATGCCAACACCCAACTCGATTCATTGAAACTAATATACGCTAGATTTGATGGCGTTTTTGGCCTCCCGCATCTTGCCCTTTCCAAACACCAGTTTGACCTCAGCAAACAACTCTTGAATCACACTCTAAATACGACCATTGAGAAGCAAAAGTCTGGAGTGCTCGAGGATCTAAACCCATGGTCATCCGACATGGAGGGGGAGGAGCTTTTCTCCGTACCGCACTGCGAGTACGTTATGTATCTCCAACAGCATCCTATGCAGCTCGGTTCGTTTGCCAAGCAAGATCCGGCTGGAAGCATCGACGCAGTGAAAGCGCTGGAGGATGAACTGAGATTCCCTTACAAGCCGTTTCATGGCACTGCCCCGGAGACGGCCATGTCTATGGTTGCTTTCTCCCCGGATTGTGGATTCACAATCGAATCGCAAGGCCCGCCAGATGAACCTCCTGTGGAGGCAAGCCATCTAAAGGGGCCTAAGACGGAAAGCTATGTCATCAGAGCTAGGCACCATGTCTTGATGTATGCTGGTGTTATAACCACTCAGTTGTTGCTTCTTCTACGACAGATGAAGGAAGCATCAACACCCTCTACACGGAGCCGCATCAACTTCCATACTCTTGGTTTACTCGCCATGGGCGATGGATTTACTCTGCTCGGATTTGCCCTGTTTGGTATGCAGGTGGAGTCGACAACTCTCCTTCTGCTCGCTGTAGCATACGTCGCATTTTTATCCGTCATATTCTTTGGCATGGGATTCATGAAGGAAGTGTGGACGGTACAAGCAACGGAGCGTGAACGAGCTCAGAGACAGAGCGCTGTGTCCACAAATGCCACACCATCCCCTGCACCCACGCAGCCCGGTACCGGTACGCAGACTCCCTCTCAGCCAATTGCCCCACCGACTATCACTCCTGCTGGGGCAGATTCGCTGCCACTGCCCGTCACTGCGCGGCAGGCTATCAACAGCGGAGCGACGCCCATCATAATCCCGTCAGATCAAGATGTCGACGCGGAAGTCAATGAAGCACAGGCGAACGCCAACACAACTGCCAATCAAGCCCGGAATCCTCTAAATGGGTTCGGGGCAGTTTATCTTCGTTTCTACCTGCTACTTTTTGGCCTCGTATTTCTCTCTCTCCACGCGACCACATGGCCGTCTTCGCTTCGCTCGACGTACAGCAACATCATCACGTTCATCTATTTTTCGTTCTGGACTCCGCAAATCTATAGGAACGTCATGCGTAACTGCCGCAAAGCAATGCGCTGGGAGTTTGTCGTCGGCCAGAGCGTCCTGCGCCTGACACCTTTCGCTTACTTCTACGCCTGTTCCAGCAATATATTGCTCATCAAGCTCGACCTGCGCTTCCTGGCCGTTATCTGCGGTTGGGTCTGGCTACAGCTATGCGCGCTCGTCAGCCAGGAGCACCTAGGCCCACGCTTCTTCGTGAAAGAAAGCTGGGTTCCCCCAGCCTACGACTACCACCCTGTATTGCGTGCCGACGAGGAAGGCGCGACTTTGCCATCGGGCGGTAAGATCCTTGCGGGCGAAGAGGTGACGGCCGCGTCTCCGACGGCGACGGCGACGACGGCAGGCGAGTCGAGGGACAAGGGTAAGAAGAAGTTCGACTGCGCCATCTGCATGCAAGATCTCGAGGTCCCGGTGGTTGCGGCCGGCGCGGGCGATGCGGAAGGAAGTGCTGGCGCGGGCCTTGGTGGCGGGTTGCTGGCCAGACGCGCTTATATGGTTACGCCTTGTCGCCATATCTTCCATAGCCAGTGCTTGGAGGGCTGGATGCGGTATCGACTGCAGTGCCCGATCTGTAGAGAGGTTCTTCCGCCTTTGTAGGTGTGGAGACTTATTAGTATTTATATTCTCTTCTTGGTGTTCATGTTCTAATCTCATTCTCGCCTTGACGTCTCCTTGGTGTCCACATCCTCTCTTGGGACTTTCCGTTCTCCTCATGATGTCTTCTTGGTATCCATATCCTCTTCTTGGATGTTTTCGTTCTCGTCTCGACGTCTTCTGGTATCTCAACTCGCTGAAGTTTCAACCCTTGTTTGTTTTGTTTTCGTCTCGAGGGTGACTGTATCTGGGGAGATTGCTCGTTGCGGCAATACTGTGGCGTTCCCCAAGGTGACTGGGAGCTCGAGGGTGAATGCTCCGGTCATTCACTATCATGTAAAGCAGTCACTCTGCTCTGGTACTTAAGAGTCCTCTCCCCCACGCCCCAGCTTTCCTTTCTTTCTTTCCCCATCCAAAGCTATTTCCGACAATGACTCCGTAAGTTGGAAACACTCCCTCCCCCCCCTTTCGGGTAACCGCATATAGAAACTTCCAAAACCAACTTTCCTCCGCCGGCTCTGCCGGCCCTCACGCCCTCGACCCCGCCCTCGACCCCGCCCCCACTCCCGCCCCCACTTCCGCTCCAGCTCCCGCTCCAGCTCCCCCGAGCTACGCGTTCCCCGTGCCGCCGCCATTGCGGCAACCCCAGTCAAGTGTTCCGCAGCGCCGGGAGGATGGGGACATCTGCGGGCCCCTCGTCTGGCTCCACCACGACCACGCGCGGGCGATTGGGATCGCAGTGCAGGAGGAGTTCGAGCGGCGCAAAGAGCTGGATCGTCTCGTGATGTGGACGGATGCCGGCTGCCCTGTCGACAAGTTACAGAGACCGTCCGGATTCTCGATCACCTGGCAGGAGAACCGCAACCACGACATACCATGGACGGACAAGTCAGCAGTGCTGTTCCCGAAGTCCCATGAGCAGATCAATGCCAGCTACGCAGAGACCATGGCGATTCTCCATGCTCTCAAGATTGCGTATGCTGCTAAAGGTTGCGGGAGAAACACGGTGGCGACCGTGGCCGTGTACACCGACAGCCAACCTGCCCTGCAGAACATCCACCGTGGCCTCACTGGTCTTAGTTTGGTTGACGTCCAAAGCTTCGCCAGCATGGAAGACCGGTCGTCTGAGCGCATCATCAGGGAGGTGCTCTCCTGCATCTACGACCTCACGGTCCTAGGTGTACGTGTCGAGTTGCGCTGGGTACCGCGTGATCAGGTCCTGGGCAACAAGCGCGCTGATCGGCTTGTGCAAGCGGCTAGGCGTGTTGGCGACTTGCTCATGTACGGCAGCGACTATCGCCACAGGCCAAAGGAGGGATGGGATGCAGACGTGGGTTGGAGGTGGGTCCCTGTATGGTTGGTGGAGGGTGACGAAGATCTGCGTGGTCAGATCCGTTTCTATCGCGAGTAGCTGGTCATCGGCATCCTAAGCGTCACTTGCGGTCTTGGTGAGAAGCCCGCTCGTCTCCTTCTGTATCACATCGTCGAAAGGTTATCGGGAACGCAAGTCAAGTCAAGAGCCTCACCGGCTGAAAGTAAAGTTCGGGCTTCACCCTTCCATCTTGCATCCTTCCGTCAGCTGACAATGTCCTAGCATCGTCGGCCCTCGCTCGCCGTAAAACAAGGCCCTCGCTCGCCATACAATCAGGCCATTGCTCGCCACACAGTCAAGCGGTTCACCACAACCTCAAGGTCCCTCCGCAGCTGGCTCCGAGAAGACCATCCCCACTATCACCACCTCCGCCGCCGCCAACTCCATCATCTTGTCACGCTGAAAAACGACAAGACCGGCATCATCATCATCATCATCATCATCATCATCATCATCATCACAGTCATCGCGGCTCTCAAGCACAAAGTGAGGCGGCACGGCAACCAACATTCGGTGAAGGTCGACACTGGCAGCGTGATTCACAAGAGCAACTTGCAGAGCAGAATCAGTTTGCAAGGTTTACGGCTTCACATTCATACAAAGCACGGCACTGAGGGGAAGTCTACGACGGCACGACTCTTCACATTTGCATGGTTGGGAGGACGATTGATGGAGTATTTTGCTTCACAAGACTTTTTCTTCTCGCGACGCTTCTTTTCACCGCAACTTTCGTCACGACACTTCCTTTCACGAACATACTTTTTTCCGACATACTCTTCTTCACGGACATACTTCACTTTCTCTCACTTCCTTTCACGTTCTGCATCACGGAGGACTTTGGGAATACACATTCTGCTTGGAAAACGGGGCGAGAGGGGTTTCAGGGATACGCTTTTGCTTGGGGGACGGTATGAGGAGGTCATCAAGGGAACGCTTTGCTAGAAGGACGATTGGGCATCAACCACAGACAGACGGACCAATGGACGGACGGACGGAAAGTTCACAGCATTTCTCAGCAGGCAGATTCAGGTCAATCAAGCAAGATTCTGTGCTCATTTTTTCAGATGGTGAGGATTGACGAAGAAGAAACTCTGCCGTGATATCATATAACAAGCTATAGAAACCCCGATTATTGTAGTCTGGTAGGAAGTAAGGAAGACGAAGGCAAGAAGTGATACGGAACGAGAACGAAAGGGTAAGAGGACACGATTCTCTTATACCAGCTAAAACAGATTATGGGAGCGATGCAAAAAGAAACAGTAGCTAACTATACCTACGTAGCTTATGCCGTGGAGAAGAATATAGATAGAGATGTTTAGACCAGTAAACCTATTATCAACAGAGGTATGACACTCAGCGACTGCTTAGTTTTACAAATTGATTGGCATTTCAGCTATATATACTAGCGTTTCCAATAGTCGTCTATGGCTCTCTCCGAGGAAGTTTTTAAAGCTATAGCGAATTATTCCAACCCTTGATAAACACGCATCCTAGTCCTTCCCTTCGCATACTTATCTCCCGGCGGAAACAGTTAAGCTCAAGATAAATATAGCCATACAGGTAAGTTTATATCAGCAATAGACCTGATTAACAAAAAGAGAAAAAGATAAAGAAAAAGACATTTCCATAAAGTCTCAAAACAATTACCTTTTTGTACGTTGAGCGTAAAAATATCCACTGTTCTAATACCCATTCATATTCCTACAACAGTAGCTGAGCCATGACACGGGCATTTAGAAGAGATAGCAAAGAAACACGCTCACTGACGGATATAAGAGCACCGAGAGAGAGAGAGAGAGAGACTCAACACCAGCAACAGTGCTCATACACCACGTTAGAAATCTAGATAAGTACTAGAAATACCAGAGCACCACCACACTTACAACCCAACACCCTCACAATCCCATATCTCATATCTCAATATTTACTTAAACTTCCTACTTTAATTTCTTCTGTGTTAACCAGCGCAGCCACCTTAACTTTTCCCGTTTTCTTTATACCACACCATACCATCTACCGACCGTATCAGCCGAACTCACCGCCCCGTCCCGATGCCTCGTCATACTGTAGGTAACATAGCACACACAACCCTAGCCCCGCGTAGCCTAAAGTCTTGAAACCGCAGCAGTGCGTCCCAAAAGCCGAAAAGAAACGCAAACATGAACGCAAACGCAAAAGCTGAAAGCCGAAAGAAGCATAAAACGCAGAAGTATGCAGAAGCAAAAGCAGAGGCAGAGGCAAATGCAGAAAAGCAAAAAGAAAGAAAGAAGAAAGAGGAGAGAAACCCGTACCTAACCGCCCCTCTAACGCCGCCAGCCAGATCCGCCCGGCTCCGTCCGTCCGTCCGTCCGTCTATTTTCCGCCTTGCTATCTGCTACCACCTACGCTCCCCATGCTTGCTTGCTATGCATGCTTGCTTGCTAGCATCGACGATAGGTAGGTACCTAGGTAGGTATGCATGCCGCATGCGCTGAACCGAACCCAACGCCCCGCACACGCTAGGTATGTACAGTACCCAGGTGTCGAGCGTATCCTATACCCCCCTCCCTCCTCTCCCTCTCTATCTCTCTCCCTCTCTCGCGCGCGCCGTAAAGGAAGAGAGGACCAAGCCAAGCCAAAGCCAGCCAAAGCCAGCCAAGCAACAGATAAGCCAACTCTGCCGCACGCAGCCGTTTCCAGGAGGAAGTGATGCAAAGCGCGCAAAGCGAGCAAAGCAAGCAAAACAAGCAAAGCAAGCAAAACAAGCAAAGCAAGCAAAACAAGCAAAGCAAGCTAGCAGAGCTCAGGTAGACAAGCAAGCAAAGCAGCAAGCAAGCAAGCAAGCAACCCCACTGGGCACACCTACATACACCACCGCGCACATAGTTCAGACGACACCCGCACCTTTCTCACCCTTCTCCATCCCTCAACCATACGCATAAGCCGCGCCCTCATCCGCCCAATCGTCCTCCACAAACGCGCGCTCATACTGCGCGGCGCCCACACTGCGGGACTGGCTGCGGGCCTGGGCGTTCTTCATGAGCGAGAACGCCGACGTAGCAGACGACGCGGCGGTCGCATCGTCATCGTCATCGTGGGCCGAGCCCAAGCTGGCGTAGAAGTTGCGCACTCGGTCATGCGCCACGACCTTCTTGGAGTCGAAATTGAGCACCTGCAAGCCGGCCATGTTGGTCGCGCGAGACAGCGCCACGTACGCCTGGCCTTTTTCGAATACCTTGCCTAGATCCACCTTGACCCGCTCCAGCGTCTGCCCCTGCGCTTTGTGGATCGAGAGCGCCCACGCGAGAATCAGCGGCACCTGCGACCGCGACGCCTGCACTTCGCCGTTCGGAAGCTCGTTCTTCCATTGCTCGCGCTGGCACAGCAGGTCGCGCGTCGTGCCGTCGGGCAGGCTGAACCGCACCAGTGGATACAGCGGCGACGTCGTCGACAGCAGCTCATTCATCTTCAGGCGCTTGCGCGCCTCCTGCCGGCCCGCCTCGTCGTCGTCGTAGCCGTCGCCGTCGACGTCGCGCCCTTGAAGGAAGTCTTCCTCGTGTGCTTGGTAGTTGTCGAACATCTGCTCGCTCATGAAGCCGATTACCCGCCCCAGTGATCCGTTGACCAGCGTTTCGTCGATGTTCTTGATCAGCATCACCTGCGCCCCCTTCTTCAAGTGCACCACCTCTGGCGCCATGCAGCTGCTCAGCATCTTGTCGCGCCGCGCCTTGTCCGTGACGGTCCCGCCGTCTTTGGCTTCGAAGCTGCGTACCTCGCCGTGCAGCATGCTCATCCGCTTGCGGTTTGCGTTATCGACCTCGTTGCGCGTGGGGAAGAGCTCCGTGGCTTCGAAGGGCCCGTCGAGCGTGATGGGACGATTAAGCTTCTTGAAGGCTTCGGTTGATGACGGCGTCAGGCGTCCTTCACGCATCTCGTTCAGCATACCCGCGAAAATAGGATCCTTTTGACGGAAGACGTGTGTGAGGCCAATCGTGCGCTCAATCGACGTGTTCCAGGTCGCAGCATCGAAGCAAAACTTGGCAACGGAGCCTCTCTCCGCTACAGGGGGTAACTGGAAGAAATCGCCGGTAATGACCAGTTGAATTCCGCCGAAAGGACGACCGTTGTTGCGCAGAATGCGCGCGCAGTTCTCCAGCTTGTCGAAAAGTGCACCGTCGATCATAGACACTTCATCGATGATCAAAACCTTGGTCCGCGTCCATCTATACTTGTTCTTCTGGTTGCGCTTGATCTTCTTCACCAACTCTTCCACTGGCTCCTTGCCTATGCCGATGCCGGCAAAGCTATGCAGTGTCACACCTCCAATATTACACGCCGCGAGACCCGTTGACGCAGTGACAGCAACGCGGTCCGTTTCTCGCTGATACTTCTTCTTCAAGCTTGTGATGATCTCCCTCAGAAGAACAGATTTACCCGTACCAGCGGAACCGGTGAAGAAGACACTTTTCTGACCCTCTACAACCATGTTAAGAACACTTTGCTGTTCGTCACTGAGGAAAACGCGAGAAAGCGACTTCTTCTTTTTAAATTCGTCAAGGAGGCCCCCAGGAGTTTTGGTAGTCTTGGCCTTTTGCGTTTCGCGATGGTTCTTCTTCGCCTCCTGCATCTTACTAGCCGAGGCATCCCATGCATACTTTGAGCTAGAGCCGTTAGGCAAGGGGGTATGAAGGTGAGCATTCTTGGCCGCATTTGCCGCTCTCTTCCGTTCTTCCTCTTCAGCCCAAGGCAGCGTCCGCCTCTTGACTGGCCGTAAGCCCTCGTCCTCTTTCTGGTTTGAATATGTGAATTTTCGTAGGGCAGCGGCCTGTGGATGCGTTTCGAAATGTTCTGGGGGAGATGATGACCAAGGGATTGCTTGCGTTGGTTGAGGCGTTGGTTTATGTGTTATTTGCGAGCCATGTCCCGAATCTGTAGCGTCGTCACGGGCCTGTGCTAGTTTGGGGTGCATGAGAGGTCGAGACACGTCAGTGTTGCCTTTGAAAGGTGGAGTGACCTTTCGCAGCGGAGCAGCCGGACCTGGCTTCGCAGAGATATTAACGGAGGGCAGGGAAGGGTAGTTGACAGAACCCTTGGTCGTCGGATCATCGATGTCGAGATCAATGTCGCTGTCAAAGTCGTCCTCGTCAAAGTACACTGCCTGCGCCGCGGCCTCGTAGCTCGAGTTTTTGGGTGAGACATCGTCAATGACAAGAGGGTCTTGCTGCGAGCCGCGCGTAGGCATAGAGGGAGGTTGTTTCTCCCCGAACGCGTCCTGCGCACCCAGTGCTTTCATTAGCCCGCTCGACGTGCGCTTGAGCCCCGCCGTGTTTGTTGACGCCCTTTGGTCACTCGCGCCGTATCCGAGCCCAATCATGCTGTCCACCCTGCCAATGTTCCCCGAGCCGGTACTGAGTGGGCGCGTCGTTTTCGCGGTCTGTAAGATGCTCTGGCCCAGCTTGGGCTGCTGGGGCGCGGTGGGGCCTGCTTTTGCCGAGAACAGCGGTTGCTGCTGCGCGGGCTTTGGCTGCTGACTCTTGGTCGCGTTGTGACTGTCCACGGCCTTCTTGAACATGGCGGGCTGCGAGTAGCGGACGCGCTGTAACGAAGAAGGCGAAGTGGCGTAGTAGGCAGGTGCTGCGGCGGGATAGCGAGCAGATGAGCGTGGCAGACGCGGCGTCAGTGCACCAGGATGGGGACGCAACGAGGCTGTGATGGCCCGCAGACCGCACAGCATACAGTACAGAAACAGGGCAAGGCAGACAATTACGAATAGGGTGAGGGTGGTGGGCGCTGTCCCCATTGATGTCGTCGGGCGACGCGCCTTGACATTATTTCGACGCCGCCGTGTCCGCGTCGCGCGACGACGGGCCTTTTTCGGCTTGGCACGTGACCGACCCTAGACCGCAGCTGTCTCGCTCGGCTGACCTACCCTTGCCCTGGCGAGTGCGACACACATGCACACATGCAGCACCACGCCCATTATTGTCTTAGTCGTTCAGCAGTGTCATTGCTAATCTAAACGGGCGACGAGGTGCCCACCCGACCTTGCCATTGCCAGAAAACCCTGTCCGCGCCATGCCGTCCGCGTCCTTATGCGAGCAAAAGAGCATGATAACCGTGAAATTTTTCTCTCTCTCCCTGTCTTGGAAAAAGCAAAAGAAAAAGGCCCAGCAGAGGAGCAATTTTAAAGGAAATTGGACGTGATGAGAAAAGAGCAAAGAATCGAGCAACAACAACAAAGAGCCCTTTCCTCAAGCAATCAAGCAAAGCAAGCAAGCAACGAACGCTGGGACCAAGGCGAAATGGGGTATGTGTAGGAGATTTTGTCTTCGCGAGCAGAGAGCAAAAAGGGAGAGCGAGAGAGCACGTTAACGTCATTCGTGAGGGGGGACCCGCCAAAACCCCAGCCAGCAGCCTATCCTTTTCCCAAAGCAAACAAGGTCATTGCAAGCACACCAATCAACAAACAGGCCAAACTTAACGGAACTTGTAATGTGAAAAGGCCCCGTTTGATGTAGAGAAGAAGAACATCCAGAACATATCGGTCATGCTGTTTAAGCAGGCAGGCTTTGAATGAAATAACCCCAAATCATTTCTCCGAACTGTGACCCTAACGTAACAATTTGAGTACCGCGCTTAACCCGCTGTTTGGAAGAACGACAACTACAGTATGAACGGCGAAAGGGGAGGGCAGCTTGCGTCTCGGCATTTTTTACACATCAGTAGTAACGACCGCACGAAGAGTATCCAAGCGCAGCGTGAAGTTTCGTTAGAAGCGTCGAGCGGACGAGGATGCGCGAGCGACGACTCCGACGCCGAGTGGAGAATATGAACGAGGCAGCTAGCCCTGGTAACCTTGGAAGCCGTTGTTGACACCGCCAAAGCCGCCGGGAGTGGGTTGAGCCCACTGGCCAGCGTTGCTGCCGCGTCCGAATCCGCCGGCACTGCCGGGCATTTGTTGGTAGGGAGAAGTCATGGCGGGACCGCCGAAGCCAGCAGAGGCCTGGCCGAAAGGTTGAGCGCCGGGGCTGGGTCCTGCGAGAGCCAGTCAGTCATGTACAAACTAGATGTCAAGCTTAACGGGAAATAAACAAACCTTGAGGGGAGCCCATGGGGCCAGGACCACCGTACTGGGGGAAGTAGGCGCTAGGGGTGGGCGGGAAGCCTGAGCCGGGAGCAGCAGTGGCGGGCGAGTAGCCTTCAAACTGGCCGGTGGGAGGACGGTCCTTGCCCCACTGCGAGAGGTTGTTAGCAGCCCGAATTCAATCGTCTTGGGGGATAGCCTACGCTGCACTTCAACGGACGACCGTTGACGTTGTAACCGGAGAGCTGGCAGATGGCCATGGCAGCATTCTCGTGAGTGTCCATTTTGATGAATGCGAAGCCACGGTCGCTCTGGAAGCGGGTTTCAACGACGTAACCGAAGTTCTGGAAGAGAGGGACAAGGTCCGACTGAGAAGTGTAAGGAGTGAGGTTACCGACGTAGCAGGTCGTCTGCCACTGGGGAGTCTGCTGAACAATCATATCATAGGATTGGATACCGTGAGTAGGGAAGTGGTGGTGGCCGTACGCGGTGGGCGTCATTCCCATAGAGGCCATGGCTTGCTGTTGGGCAATCGACGGCTGACCCTTCTGGTTGGCCCAGTTGCAGCGGATGGCGCGAGAGCCGAGCCACTCGCCGTCCATGGAGCTCAGGGCCTTCTCGGCATCACCGCGGTCGCGGAAAGCAACGAACCCGTAGCCGCGCGAACGACCGGTCTTCATGTCCCACATGACGCGGGCCTCGGAAACGGCACCAAACGCGGAGAAAGCCTGAAGGAGGACCTCATCGTTGACTTCGTTCGAAAGGTCACCAACGAAGATATGGAAATGGTTGGACGTGTCCTCCTTGGTCTGCGTGTTCGACTGGTAGGCCCAGTTGACGCGAATTTCCTGCTTCCAATGTCAGGTGTGTGCGACCAAGTAGGAGCCTTGGTGTAACCTACGCTGTGGTGGACGCGTCTACCATTGAGGGTCTGCATGGCACGCTCAGCGGTACCAGGGTCGTCGTACTCAACGAAGCCGTAGTTCAAACCCTTAGACTGGAACTTCTGTTGCATTAGTATGAGCCTCCTGGTTTCAAACAAGCAAGCGAGTGGGAGGGGACTGAGTGAGAGACAAGCCAAGGAGAGGAAAGGTGTGCGCGGCAATGCGTGGTTAGCGCGCAAACGGGTTGCGCTAGCCAAAAGGCAGTGGGGTAGGTGGGCAGCTTCAAACGCATGGCGCAGCTTGCAGGGTAATGGGCATAGACGAAGAAGAAAAAACAAGGCGACCTACGTTCTTGTCCGGGATGATCTTGACGCTCTGGACGTGGCCGGCCGTCTCGAAGATCTGGCGCAGGACATCCTCGGTGATGCGAGGGTCCAGTCCACCAACATACAGAGCCCGCTTGTTCGGTTCGGGCGCGGCGCGACGCACGTAGCCGCCGGCAGAGGTAGGCGACATGACGCTGGCGGACATTGGGGAGCTGATGGCCGTGGGGATGGGATTCGTGTTCTGGGGGATTATGACGGGCGCGAGCGGGGGAGGAGGCATGTGGCCCTGGCCGTTGCCCTGGGCGCCGTTGTCGTAGCCCGGCGCGCCTGCCGAGGCGGGCGGGGGAGGGAGAGAGCTCCCGGAGGCAGCAGTGTCAGACATGGCGGGAGAGATGCTGTTCGATGATGAGCTTTGGGGAATCGCGGAGCAGGAGAGTGGCGCGTCGACTTTTATGAGGCGGGTGGTACTGACAGGCGATGGAAAAAGGCCGTGGGCGGCGTCGAAGTAAGCGGTATGCTGCGGCACAGAGATAGCAGAATGCGCTCGGCGGGGGACAGGAGAGGTGCGATGGAGTCGAGTGACGATGGGAGAGCGGACGGGCGCAAAGGCACAACAGAGCGCGGTGGGCGACGACTAAGCGGGAACGCGGACGTGCAGGCTGGCAGCGGCAGCAGCAACAAGCAGCAGCAGCAGCAACAACAACAAGCGGGTACTCGTATACGTAGCCGGGCGGAAAACGGCAGAGACAGAGGAAAAAAAGGCGCGAAAGAAAGAGGCGGAAAGGGCAGTCGGGAGAGGAAGGAGTAGGAGAGAAGGAAGAGGGAGGAGGAAGGGCGGAGAGTGTTTGACGACTCGCCTGGGCTGCGACGTGGGAGTGGGTGTGGGGTGAGGATTCAGGAAAGGGCAGAACGAGAGAATTGTACTGAACTGCTGAAGCTCTCTCTGGGAAGGGGCCACCTGCGCGCTAAAATCTCGGGCCGTCCAGGCTAAGCCGGTCTAAAGTTAGCCGCCAGCGGTAAAATATTACTAGTTGGTACCCAGGACCAAGCTTAACCACGACGCGCCCGCTTTCCGCTTCCCACAAGGCCGATCGCCGGGTGGAGAGGTCCAGGATCACGTGTCTGCCTGACTGCCTGACTGCCTAATTCTGCCTGAGGCTACCACCACCACCCACCACCACGTTTCTGCCTGATTCTTCTGCCTGTCTGCCTGACCACCACACCCTCTCGCGCCTCACACCCACACCCACACCCTCTCACCACCATGTCGACTTCCTCCCCCCACCTCCTCGACGCCATGCAGGCCATGCTCAACGGCGCCCTGCTCGAAGTCGGCCGCTCCATGAAGAACCCCGCCCGCGCAAACCTCAACTTCGCCACCGCCCAGGGCCTGCACGGCCCCAAATACAACAACGTCAACCTCTCGGGCAGCTGGGAGCGCTTCAACGCCCTGGCCGACGAGCTCGGCGCCGAACTCGCCCGCGCCCAGGCCGTCCTCCGCAGAGACCTTGCCGTGCGCCGCGCCGAGCGCGAGCTGCGCGAGGCCGCAGAGAGGGAGCAGCTGCGCCAAGCCCAGGAGCTGGATGTCACCATGGAGGAGGTCGACCAGGTCAAGCTGGGTCCCGCGCCCGACGACGATGTCGACATGGCCGACGGGCCCCCGCAGCAGCAGCAACAACCCAAGCCCGCTGCAGCAAAACCAGTCGCGCCCGCTCCTGCTGCTGCTGCGCCGCCCAAACCCCCCGCCATTCAGACCAACACGACTGCCGCTGCTGCGCCCGCAACCGCGACCAGCACCGACGATCTCTTCGGCCCCACGCCCACCACCGCCAGCATGAACAATCCCGACTTTGACAGCATGTTTGACGACCTGACGGCCGGCAACAACGACACGGCCAATTCGGCGACAGGTGGCGACCAGTCGACCACGGCAGACAACGGGGACTTGGACTTTGCGCTGCTGCCCGGGCTAGAAAGTTACGCCAACAGCGGTGACAACGGTGGCGCGGCGCAGCAGCAGCAGCCGGCCGACGCGGCTGCTGGGATGGATCTTGGCGCGCTGGACGCGTCGAACAAGCAGGACGAGCAGAAGGCAGCGGAGGACGAGGAGAAGAAGAAGAAGCAAGCCGAGGAGCAGGCCCAACAGCAGCAACAACAGCAACAGGAAGAACCGCAGCAAACGCAGCCCGCCGAGGACGAGGTGCAGAGCCAAGAATTTGACCCCAACGCCTTCACGGGCGAATCAACATTCGACGAGCTCTTCAACTACGGCGACTTCGACATGGGCGACAGCGCCGGCGGCGGCACAGAAACCACATTCGACGACTCGTTCTTCGGCATCTGAGAGAGCTGCAGCGCATGATGAAGGGAGGGAAGGAGAGAGGGAGCGAGAAAGGGAGCGAATGAGCGGGACAGAAAGCAAGGCAAGCGGCCAGGACGCGAGGAGAGAGACATGTGAGAGAGTGTGAGAGAGCTAGGTAGAGGGGGAGGGAGACGTCCAAACACCTAATGAGAGCACACCACGCAACCGCGCGCGCTGCGCTTCTTAAGAAAGGCAGCGCGCGTGCACGCATCCACGCACCAAACGCAAACGCAAACGCCCTACCTAGCTACGTACATGCCTTACGGGCTGCAATCCAGCACCCGCACCCGCACCGGCTCCCGCAGCCGCAGCCGCTCCCGCTCCCGCCCCTCCGTTTCCCTCGTCCCGTCCCGCGCGCCCCACCACCCCACCACCACCACCACCACCCTTACGGGCTGCAATCCAGCACCCGCACCCGCACCGGCTCCCGCAGCCGCAGCCGCTCCCGCTCCCGCCCCTCCGTTTCCCTCGTCCCGTCCCGCGCGCCCCACCACACCACCACCACCACCACCACCACCACCACACAAACACGCACACAACGCACACGACTCCCTGTCTGTCTCCCCCGCCCGCCCCCTCATCGTCCCTCCTCTCTTTCCGTTCTTTTCCTTTTCCCCACTCAGACCCTCACGCCCTACCCCTCGCCCGCACCCGCCAGCCTTGCCCAATGCCCAATGCCCCATGCCCATCCGCAATGCCCTCCCACCCATGCACCCATGCACGCACGCACGCATCCATGCCTGTGCGCAAGACAGACGGACGGACAGACAGACGACAGACGACAGACGAAGAGAGCAGTGCCCGCTACGGCGGCGTGCTATGTATACGGCGTATTGTTATATTGCACTAGCATACCACGCGTGGGACGGGACGAGAGGGGAGAATGTGATATAATATGGCACGGCTGGCACGTCGGTACGTTTGGCAAGCAAGCGAGCATGCGTGAGTCTAAGTAGCTTAGCTATAACACACGCACTCAAGCGCCCGTCCGCTCGCGCGCCCAAGAGTAGAGTAGAGTATATCGTACAACACAACCGCTGTCCGAGCCTGAGCTTACGTCTAAGCCTAAACCTGAGCCAGAGCCAGAGCCTAAGCTTGCGTCCGCACCGCACTGCACCGCACCGCACCGTCCAGCCTCGCGCGCTCTAGCCCGCTACGGAGCAAGAATCGCACGCACCTACAACAGGAACGCCACTGCGCGCCCGCGACCGTAGACCGTAGGGCGTGGCGTAGGTACGTGATATGCATGTACAATGCAATGCGTAGTATCGTAGACCCGAGCCCGTGTGCTGGGCCCAAAGCCTAGAGCCCAAAGCCGGGACCGCACACGGCGCGCGGCGTGCCAACGTCAACGCCAACGACGGCGGCAGGCGGCTGGGGCAAGGGCAGCACGCGGCTCGCACGAGAAGGTTACCTAGACATGCTTACCATTACCACTAGGACGCGCGAGCGAGCTGGCTCGAGGGGAAGGGGGCTCCGATACCGCGGACACCAGGGAAGGGCGGAGGGAAGACCAGACGGACTGGTAAGGTAAGTTGAGGTAAGGTAAGGTAATGTAGCTGCATTGAGTAACTAGTAAAGAAAATGAAAAAGAAAAAGAAAAAGAAAAAGAAAAAGAAAAGAAAAGAAAAAGGAAAATGAAAAACGTAGCGTGTCCCAGAAAGAAACGGTCAGATCCGGATGCCCACTTGCTGCTCACTGTACTGTGCTTGAGAGCGAGCTAGCCTGACGGTCCTAACGGACTGATCGTGACTAGCAACACAAGAAGGCTGCGTACCTAGTGCGTACGACGGCTTCGTCCTCGCACGCACTATCCGTACGCGGTCTGGTTGGCTTCCATCAGTGCTGCCATGTCCCCCGCGGCTAAGCCTGCTGCCCACCAACACCTCACCTACACACAGCGTAGGTAAGAAGGTAGGTAGGCAAGCCTCGCTCGCGTGCTTCTCTCACTCTCACTTTCAGCGCGGGTCCCCATGCATGCATGCATCATGGCCCCATAGCCCATTCCGCCCGAATCCGATTAAGAACTAGCTTGAAGAAAACGCCCAGTGCCCAGTGCCCAGTGCCCAGTGCCCGCAGAGCCGACGACACCCACACCTACATCCACCCAGACCAGTTGCCAGCCCCCTTGTCCCCGGCCACACGCCAACCGAACCCAAACTTAACCAGACCAGACCAGACCAGGCCCTTCTTCGCCTTCTGTCTCCCGCACCAACGCCGCGCCCTGACGACCGTCCGCACCTCCGGGGAGAAGGGGGAGGGGGAGGGGACTCACGACACCGCCCGCCCTCTGATCCGTTCCGTTGCCGCGTTGCGTGCTGTGTCGGGGTCCGGGGCCCGGCCGGCCATGTCTCCATCTCTCTCTCTGCCTCTGACTCTGCCCTCTGACTCTGCCTCCCCTTCCCCTCGTCAATCCCATCCATCCATCCGGTATTGCCCGTGACCTACCACGCGCAGCACGTCCTTGCCTGGAAGGAGCCAAGTTCGTAGGGACTGCGCAAGCTTCAGCCCCATCCGAACGTGCCCACGCCTTGATCCCCCTCTCACCCCCAACCCTTGTCCCCTCCATCAATCCGTTTGTAACTAGCCGTGTGTGCGTGTGTCCGTTTGCTGTTGTTGCGCACGGCGGCTGCTCGCCTGCTGCCGCTGCCGCTGCCGTTGCCCGAGGCTACCCGTGCTGCTGCTGCCGCCGCTAGCCTATTACTCTATGAGAATGCCCCCTTTGAAAAAACCGTCCTGTGTCTGTGTGTGTGTGCGTGCGCGTATGTGGCTGCTGTGATTGACGTGCGTCATGCGTCATGCGCGGGACTGTGCCCGGTCCCGCTGGCCAACTGTCCCCCGACTGTCTGGGTCTGTCTGCTTTGTCGGTGTCTTGGCAGGACGTGCAGATCTTTGAGCACACTTCGGAGGAACCTCCATTGGAAACATTAACAGCATGATGTTTGTGCCTGTAATAAAAAAAAATCTGTTTTGGGTTGGAAAATATGTCGAATCAGAGTGTGCTGATGGGGAACTTGCAAAAGGGGGGTGGAAAAGGCAAAAAGAGCAAAAACCGATCCCAAATCGTGTGAAGTGAAAATAGAGCTTGTGTCTCGCATAAGCAGGTCGAACCAAAGAAAGGTAATGTCGAAAGAAACCGAACACGAGCGATGGCAAAGCCCCACAAGTATTAAGCTAGACGGCCTGGACTTTGCTTGTCAAGCCCGCTCGTGCCGTCAGCTAAGGTTTATTACCGTTTCGTTTCGAGGACCTGGTCCGACGCAACAGACCATCCCAACCGCTCGCGCTCACACCTCCTGGATTGGATACGTCGACCCAAGCAAAGCCCTTCTCCCTTTTGTTGGACTTCCTGCCGCTCTTGTGCTGCTTGTTGTTGAAAGCGTGCTTCACCTCGACCGGGACATCGCCGCCAAATGTTATCTCCCGAATGCCCTTGCCCACCGTTTTATCGGCAAGCCCACTCAGCTCCACGATGGCCGCATACATCAAGGCATTGGTGGTATTGGCATCTTCGGGGTCGCGTGCGCTGACGTCATTGTACGAGCGCAAGTGGATATGCAGAGTGTCCAAAGAATGACTTTGTTTCTCTTGGAGCAGTGTAGCAAGGCTGCCAAGGTAGCTCTTCCAAGCCGCGGACATAGCGCGCGCGTCAATGGTGTTCAGGCTGGACAGGTCAACATGGACCTCAAGGTGCCGAACAGTGCAGAATGTCTGCGGGTTCATGAATTTTGTAAGATCGGCTTCAGCTTGTGGCGGGCTTGTCAACATGAGTGGTTTGGCGCGGAGGACGGCAGAGGCTTCTGCTGAAATTCGTGTATTGAGAAGAAGCACAGATGGAGTAGACGATGTCGTGTTGCGCGACGTTGGGTCATGTGTAATTGCTGCGTTGACAGCATTCCAGTCCGCGCAGTAGCTCCAAATCCTACTGCGAACGTCCTTTGGCAGTCTGAGGAGGTAGCAGGGTGGCGTCTCCATGGCCTTCTTAGCTTCTTGGGCGTACTGAGCTAGAAAACCGCCGAAGGTAACCTTCTTGATGCCGCGAAGACGCTTGCAGTTGGCCAGCATCTGTTGGATCTCATCAAGAAAGAAACATTGCCCGGTAGGCGGGCACTGTTCGAGGTGTCTGGCTATTTCGTTGCCGCGGACATCGATGTTGAGATACTGGAGGTTATGTCCCATGTTGTTGGGGCTGTCGGGGTTGTTGCGGTAGTCGACTGGGGGTTCATCAGGATGCGGTTCGACCCATATATCGATGCAGTCATTGATCAAGTGAAAGAACTCCATGATATCGCACCAACAGTGCGAGTTGTCAGCAGAACTGATGTCGCGCGTGAAGTCAACCTCACGCAAATTCGCAAGCAATGGCGGGCTGATGATGTAGCTGACGTGCTCATACGGAATGAAGCCGTGAGAAAGGGTGAGTTTCTTCCGGTGGAGGATATAGAGCGACTCGCGCAAGATCTGCTTATTCACTAGGAGGATGCTGGGCGTTTCCTTGTGAACTATGGGCTTTTCGTGCCAGCCGTCCGTGTGTGAGTCGAAGTAAATGTCCAGATACTTCTTGGTTCCATTAAAGTTGAGTGTCAAGCTGTAGATGAGATTGCGCAACTCGCCGGGCAAGCGAAGGAAAGGGAATACAGTGCGTCTTTCCAGAGTCATGGAGCGCGTGGCACGTCGAGTTGTCAGGTTAAGAGCCTTGGTGGCTGAGTTCCTGGCTTTCTTGGAGCGACCAGACTGGGTGGGCGTTTGCTTCTTAACAGATCTGGCGGGAGGGGAAACCTTATTTTTCTTCGGTACAGGCTCCGATGAAGACGGCGTTCGGCCTGCTACCCTTTTAGGCATGTTGCAAGCTGCTCAGAGACCGGCGATTCAAGATCTCCTACGTTTGGCGGGGCGCAGATCCGGAAGCAGGGTCCACGAGCAAAGGGATCCGTCCAAGTGTGAGCTGATGCCTGGTAAGCGGCAGAAATGGCGATGGAAATCCGGCAGCTTTGTTCTCGAGCTTTCGCTGGCACGCTATGGGATGCCGATTGGATGTGAGCGCTGGTGACGTAGGCCCGACGGCTGGCTATACCGTCCCGACCCGCCTCCGTTGCCGGCGGAGCGCGAGCGTGTGAGTAAAAATCGGGCAGGCGGCAGGAAACTGGGGAAGCTGGGACAAAAGAGTGATGGTGGGAACGACGACTGGCGGAGCCCGGGCTATATAGCACCTAGCGGGGTGACGAGACGGGCTGCCGGGGCCAAGATCTAGAGGTAGCGGGCAGTTGCAGGCGCTGCAGTAAGTTGCAATAAGGACCAGAGCGGGTTGCGGCTCGCGCGAGACAGGAACCGGCGGAGTGAGAGGCGACGTTCTCGGCAGTGCACCCTTATTGTCGCGACGGAGGTTGTTGCACTGTTCGCCTTTCGTCGGGCGTTGTCGAGATGACGGGCGATCCTTGCCCGCGCTTTCCGTAACCTTGATGTCCCGTGACCTTACTGTCAGCGTGGCGCCTGTCAGACCGCGCCTTCGCTATCATCGTGACTGACCCCCAATGTTAGCCACTGTGTTAGTGGAGCGAGATGGTCCGACGGTGCGGCTACCTATCCCTTGACGTGCCCGGCGATACGCCTTGCTACCGAGTCCCAGGAATCCATATCTAGACGAAACCTAAATTCTAAATTCACCTCAGGCATGAGTGCTTTACCATGCCACGGGGACTTGCGTTTGCACAGCGACCGCTCGACCGGCAATGCCTGACGACACTCTACCAAATACCAAACAGCAAACGCACCATCGGTGGTGTGAGGTAAGAGTTCAACATATCTCATTTCGCAAGGCAAACAGCCCTGCCTAACTAATACTACTACTACTAACGATCGTGCTATGCTATGCCTTTGCCATGGCCCTATTCAACGCGTAACATCCATCCTTCGTTTACCCAAGTGCGCCACGCTATGCTTAACGGACTCATATAACCCAAAACAAAATCAATCGCTGTTTGTATCCCTGTCCCTGTCCCTGTCCGTTGCCCGGATCCCGCAAACGCCATTCTGCTCGTAACGATTATGCTGCGCTAACGCTAGGCATGTTGATAAGAGAGACCTCTTCGGTCTCTGTCTCTGCTTCGGACCTCGTCGTTCCCTGTGTACCGTGAGCACCGCCCTTGGTGACCTCGTCAATAATCCCCGCAAGCTCCACGGCTGCATCACCATCCTTCGGGGTTTCGTTTTCATTTCCGGAGTCCGACTTCGCATTGTTTCCTTGCACCGGATCGCTGCCATTGAAGAGAGATGTTGTGTCCCAGAAGCCCGAAGATCCCGCCATTGGATCTTCGTAAAGATTGAAATTGAACGCATCACGCATGCCTGCGGGAGAGCTAGAAAATTGCATACCTTCCGAATCCATGCCGAAATCGAAGTCGCTAAAATCCAACAGTTTGGAAGCGCCGGGAGAACTAAACCATTCTCTGCTGATGGCACCGGCCGACTTAGGTGTCTTGTTTGTCCCGAACATGGCGTTGAGGGATGCCGTTAAGGGGGTCATGGGATTCTTCGGGGATACCAGGTTTAGACCGAAAGGATCAGCGGCATTCTGGTTTCCATCCTTAGGTGTAAGAGCGGCGCGTTTTGATTTCGAGATAGGCGTCTTCAACAAGTCGGCGAATCGAGCACTCTTGCCGCTCTTGGGGGTTTCGTGAGTAGCAATGTTTTCGATTGTTTCGTCGTCGCCAAACAAACAACCCAAGCCATCATCCTCTTCATCGACTGGAGGTGGCACATTCTCTTTATTTTCGGTGTTTTCGGCATTCTCAGCCGATGCTGGGTCTTGAACGGACGGAGCAGACTGTTTACTCGTGGTGGGATAATCTTTTGAGCCATCCTCAAGCGACTTGACTTGACCCTCTCTCCGAGGAGATGGGAAGAGAAGCCTCCTAGTCGGCTTTGGGGAAATGACATCTTCATCCAGGTTGATCGGACTCTCCTGAGATCCCAGCAACTTAGCCGGGCTCGACCTAATTGAGCGCATCAGTGATGCATTCGCACCTCCGTTATCCCATTTCTGGGACACGTTTGAGTTCTGGTCTTCTCTTTGGAGATTGGTTTCTGGAGCGTTCTGCTGTTGCGAGGCCTGGGATTGTTGCACTTCTTCTTGAACTGCGCATTCCATCGCATCGCTAGGAAGAGCTTGGTCGGTGTAAAGAGCCGAAGACATGGCGTCCGCGAAAGTGGCTGAAGGCGGTTCCATTGTAACGTCAGAAGTCGGAGCGGTTTGAGTGTCAACAGTCTTTCTTCTCCTCGGCCTCCCACGCTTTTTTGGCTCTTGCTTCGTTTTGGGCTCCCACTTCTCGCGGGGCCGCATCTTGCCTGCCTTAGCAAAATACAAACCGCAGGGGTTGCACAGAAGCATAGTAGCATATTCTTTGTTGACCTTGTCCTCATTTGTCAACGACTTCTTGAAGAGCCTGTATTTTGGCACAAAATCGGTCTCATCCGGTCGTGGCTCAACAACCTCATGACCGATGATCGCTCCTGGCTCGTCAAGAGAGACAGGAATGTTTTCAGGAACCCCTTCGACCGTTTTGACGAAAGCTTTGCGCCAGGTCGGTGTTTGGATCTGCCCACAGCACGCACAGAAGTCTGGCATCTTGCCTTCTTCAATACTCTCCAAAAGCCTCTCCTCGATAAGCTTTTTGCGCTTAGCACCAGCACCACTCCGAGGCCTGGGTGAAGCTGATCGAGATTCAGGCGCAGGCCCAGGTGGTTCCTCCGATTGAGTCTCCTGTGGTGTAGTCGCTGACCAAGTGTTCGAACGCGAAAACCTTTTTGTCTTGGGGGGAGCGACCTTCTTTGGAGCCTTCGTAGCTATTGACGCAGCGGGACCGCAGATTTCAGTAGTCGCCACGACATTTGGCATGAGAGGTGGACTAGTAGCGGGAAGTGACTGCGACTGATGCAATTGAGGCGGATAAACAGGGGCAGGCGGCGACGCTTGCGTGGGCTGAGGAGTTGATTGAGGAATCGGTTGTGGTGAGGGCGCGGCCATTGGTGCAAGTCTATGCTGAGTTGCCTGTGGGGGCGGTGGTTTCGTCGAATTTCGTTTTCTTCCGCGCGTTTCAGGCTTTGGCGATGACCTTGCCTCGGCATCAGAATTATTGTTGTTAGCTGCTTCTTCAGCCCGGCGCTGGTGCTTGTAATGAAGTGGCGGTGGTTTAACAGTCCTAGGCAGCAGCTCGGCGGGACCAGGAACTTCCATCTGCCAGATTTGGTCTGAAGGGGGAGGCGGAGGTGGGGGATTGGCAAGCTGCCCTACTGGTCCAGTTTTGTTAGCGGTGATGAGATCGAGGTAGTCGTCGTGTCCGGTCATCGACCCACTCATGAAGCCCGAGTCATCCTGGAATGGCAGAGTAGGCAGGCCAGGGCTGGAAGCAGCCATAGGCGACTCATTGTTCTGAGTGTAAACAGGTGGGGACGAGGGGAAATCGGCGGGTGAGTCCTCAGCGTCTGCCATCTGTTCATCTTCCGAGGCGGCCACCGACTCCGAGTAGAGTGGACGTTGGGCGTAAGGAGAAACATATGTTCCTACACTCTCATTTGATGCCTGGTGACGAAGGGAACTGCCGCTAACAGATGGACGGCCTCTCGGTTGTGGGCGCTCTTGCGGAACAGGTGTAGGGGCTCTTGGGGGTGGCTCCAATGAATTTGAGCCTGCCGCAGCTGAGCCATTCGCTGCCGGTTTGTGGACGCGGATAGATGCTGCAGTGCTCGCGGTGATCCGAAGAGAATCCGCCCTGGGACCAAAGTTCGACTTGCCACGCCAATCCGTCTGGACAACGCGCGCCCGCTTACGTGGCGGCCCCTCCTCATTTTCCGCCTCTTGGCTCGCATTGCCCTCATATGACTGTTGCTGATTGAATGAAGGCTGAGGATTCAAGGATTGCTGCTGCTGCTGCTGCTGCTGCTGCTGCTGTTGTTGTTGTTGCTGTTGTTGCTGCTGCTGATTGGTCATGTGACGCTCACTAGTGTGCGACGCTCTCGAAACAGGCCTGGACTGATCTTGGGTGACCTGTTGAAGAGCATGGCTCGAACGGAAGCTGGGGGCGGGGCTCGCTGCTCTGCTGCCTTGATGGCTTTGGCCTGGTGCGGAAAAAGCATATTGGCTGCCTCTCCTGCTCTCATTGGGCGCCATGTTTTGAGTCAGAAGTTGGTGCAGGGATTCCACGCCGCCGCTGCTGGTTCTCTGGAGTCCGTTTCCTTGTGGCCCTGCCGTAATCTGTGCTGCAATCGCGTTGAAATCCGGGTTTGCCTTCAGGAATGCGGTCCAGGAGCTGTGATCAAACCCCTCAGGGAAGGCCCTGCTAAGGCTACGATATCTCTCCATACTTTCGAGATATTCGCTCTGCAGGAAGGTCGGCACGGGTACCAGCTTCAACTTTACTTCCAACGTCTCTTTGACTCCATTGTTGAAAAGGCCTAAAATATTTTTGCAGACTTTTCCGGTGACCATCGTTTGTGACTGGCCCGCAGGCACGTTCGGGGTGGTGGAGGCAGAAGCAAGAATCCATGATAGCATGCCCTGGCCAACCAGAGGCGTTTCGTATTCAGAGTAGTCGTAAGCGTAAACGGTGTAGTCGTGGCCTAGCCTGGCGACTAGTTCGGGGCTGGAGGCCAGGTCATCAGCATTGCACACGGAATATCACGAGACATTTGACGCGTACCTAGCGGCCACAATGGCTTCTATACAAGTCCGCAGCTCGATTACGCCCACCTGAGTGTCTTCATCAACCACGACTGCAGGGATGTTTAACGCGTTTGGTAGGCGAGCCAGGCAGTATGTCTTGTTCTGATCATCAAAGGTATACAGTACTTTGACTAGAGGGGTGGGGCATCAGCGACGCGGATGGCGACAGGGACCACCGGGATAGCTAACCTCGCATGAGCCGTCTGGGGATGTCGGAGATATGGTCATCGTCGTCGTCGGCCATGGCGCCCGGCATGGTACGAGGAGAAGGCTCCCCGTAGGTGAAGGGCGAAGACATGGTGGTTGGTGGATGAAGGCATCCAAGGTGAAGGAAGGAAGGGCGGATGTGGAGGTGCAGAGTTGGAGGATCCACGTTAAGTGTTTGGCGTGACGCGGGTCGAGATCGAAGTCAAGAGGGCGGGAGCGCGTTTGAGCATAACGGGTCGTGCTGTGGTCTTAGCGCGCGAAGTGAAGTTCAAAAGACGCGACCGGAACGGGGCTGGGCGACACGAAAGACGGCCGGCCGGCGATCCCGGAGCGTGAATTCTTCGACCAGCGTCTCGGCAAATAGCCACAGTCAGCAATTGTGTCCCCATCCAAGAGTGCATGCCGCAATCAGAGAATGCGTGCGGGTAGCATTGGCTTGGCGCGTGTCCCCGCGATCTGGATGAGCTCATCCTCGCGCCTTCTCGTCTGGCACGCGTCCTCGGTCTCGCGCTAGCACACGCTAGGAGCAAACATCTGCCGGCCTCCGACGCCAAGCCCGGCCTCCATCAGCCATCCAAGTGGAAGCCGCAAGGTTGAGCTTCGTGCTGCATACTCGTCAATCCCCCACCACCTCCACTATGTCGACAGATCCCAAAATTCAGTAAGCTGCATTCTTGTCGCCGCTCTCTTCCGAATCTCGCTGACCTTCCCAGGGAGCTTCTCGCCAAGCCGCGCGACCAGTTGACGTACGTTTACTTTCACCTCACGCGCATTGTCAAGCTCATTCCCCACTGACGACAACGCATAACACAGCGAGTACGAGATTTCTCAGGTCGAGGAGCATGAGTTCAGCGCCGGTCCCCTTTCGCTGCTCCAGACCGCTGTCCGCACCCACACCCAGGTCCTCATCTCGTGCCGCAACAACCGCAAGCTACTGGCGCGCGTTAAGGCTTTCGACCGCCACTGCAACATGGTCCTCGAGAACGTCAAGGAAATGTGGACGGAGACGCCCAAGCTAGCGACCGGCAAGCCTGGAAGGCCTGTGAACAAGGATCGTTTCATTAGCAAGATGTGAGTGCCGGCGTGCCTTTCGTTTTTAGCTCTTTGCGCGGCAGATGAGAACCATTGTGATTGCTAACATGGTCTAGGTTCCTTCGCGGTGACTCGGTCATCCTTGTCCTACTCAGTTGAGCGTACAAATACACCCTCGCGAGCGCAAAGACGAACGGGATTTCTTTTATGGCATTGCTGGATTGGGAAAAAGTCCACTGGCACGGCGTTTTGTAGAGACGATCGGATAACCCAAATTACGATTCATAGCCGACAGAAGGCTTTCGATCCATTACCGATTTTCCTTAACCATAATGACTATCCCCCCACTCCGGTATTGTGTTCCACTGATTACAGATATATACCACGATAAACTCACTGCCACTTCAGCATCTCATCTCATCATCCGCTCACTGCAGTCCGCCAGCCAAGCCCACCAGGAATTGGGCCAGACCATGCGCACCCGGATCGGGGACGCCCTGCCAGCCCTCGGTACCCACATACACGGTCCTCCCGAGGCTCGCCTTCATACCCTTGGTGCCCTTCGCACCCGCCTCAGCCGCCTGAGCCGCCGCCTGCACATCTCCCGTCTTGGCGAGCGTGTCGATGAACGGGTACAATGCGTCCACGAGCGTACGGTCACCCGGGCGCGCGGGCGTGTACTTGGCCAGGGCCTCTTGCGAGGTCTTGAGTGCGTTTGCCCACATTGCGGGGGTGACTGGCGTTGCCGACGAGCACGACTGCTTGCGGAGGCCGTGCGCCAGCGCGTTAAGGAAGATGGCATAGATGGCGCCCGATGTGCCGTCCATCTCCTTCTCGACGACCTGCGTGACGTTGTGCACAAGCAGCCCGGCATCATTGGGAGTCTTGGCGCGCTCCAGCATCTTAAGAAGGCCTAGTAACCGGATTAGCGAGAGAATACCGCTGGGTTGAGATTTGTACTTACCCTCCGCACCACGTCGCAAGCCAATGCCGCAGTCACCGTCGCCGACGATCGTGTCATAGTTGGTGATGTCGGGTTCTGCGGATACCAGTCGGTTCAAGCCGGCCTGCAGCGCTTTTTGGGCTACGTCGGGGTTCACTGGACTCTGAATCAGTATCGGAATCCACCACAAAAAGTCAACTGTACTTACACTCCAGGTTGGTTTGCTTGACCTCCTCTTCGCCGATTATCTCCGGGCTCAAAACCGCGTTACTCCTCTCGTCCCACGTGTGCGTCTGCACCGCCGCGGACCAACCGGTCGCCTCAGCCGGCGCATCGAGCAGCTCAAGCATCGAGTTGCCCTCGCCAAGACCGGTGTCGGTAATCCTCAAAAGCGAAATGCTGAACCCCAGTCCGTTCAGACTGGTCATGAAAGTGCCGGTCAAAATCCTGGCGGGCTTGATTTTCCAATCCTGCTCCAGCTGGTTCACCACCTCAGCCGAGATACCGCCCATCTCAAGCGGACTCACGCCGCCGAGGTTGTTGACCAACAGAACCGTCTCGTCAGTCTCTGAGATCTGGATAAAGTTGCGGTCCTTATCGGAGGAGTCGAGCATCTTCGCCAGCATGTCCTTGACTAGCGCGGGAAGGTCTGCTTGCTTGCGCTCGCTTCCCGCCTCGTTGTGGATTCCCATGCCAATCTCGACCTCGCCCTCTCTGAGATCATCGACGGGCGACTCTACCACGCTGCGACCGGGAACGTGCACGTGCGCTAACGAGGCGCCGATGGAGGCAAGGTTGTCGCAAGCCAGGCGCGCAAGGCCGGCGACTTCTTGGAGCGACGCTCTGCATAACTGGTTAGTCGGACTGCACAGCGCATTTCGGAAGCTAGCTCGGATACTTACCCCTTCGCAGAAAGAGCACCAGCGAGCTTCTGCACCAGAGCGGTGCCTGCAATACCGCGGCGACCGACCTTGCCGCCCTGAGTCCGGCCAACACCCACGTCGTCGCCTACGACGACCATTTCGGTCTCGATGCCGCTCGCCCTGGCCTTTTCGACCGCCATACCGAAGTTAAGGACATCGCCCTGCAATCCTCAGTCAGCACCGCGCTCTACCGTTCCCGACGTCCTCCGCCTTCCTCTCTTCAGAGAGCAGAATCGCAGCACACTCACCGTGTAGTTCATCACCACGACCAACACACCCCTCTCCTTCCTGACTCTCCTCAGGATGCACTTGCGGATCTGCTCGGCATTGGGGCTCGCGAAGATGGTGCCGCTCACAGCCGCGGCAAGCAGACCGGCACCAACGAAGCCGGCAAAGCTGGGCTCGTGACCGCCACCACCACCAGAGACAATGGAGACGGTTGAGCCGCTCGCGGGCGTGGGGCGCCGGTATAAGATCTTGTTCTCGACATCGAGGGCGGTGGAGGGGTTGGTTTGGGTGACGTTGAGCAGCGCCGAGTTGATGAGGTGCGCGGGGTCGTTGATGAAGTGTTTTGCTGGGCGAGGGGGTTAGCGGGAGTGGTTGCGAATGCGCGCATGGGGTGCGGGCAAGGGAGCAGCGTGCCATTGGGGGCAGCGCGACGCATTGGGCTGGCTGGTGGGAGAGAAGGCGACTTGGGCGCATACCTGACATCGTCGCGACAAGAACGGGCGATTAAACACTAGCTGGGCGGGTAGGTAGGAAGGTAGCTAACGGCAAGGCGCAACACGGCGAGGGGAAGGATGAATTGAAGCAGCAGAAGAACCCGGGTGTAAGGGCAAAGGGTAAGTTTAAGGGTGTAGTTATGGGCGCGAGAGGAAAGAGGGAGAATTGAATGGCAAGCAACGACAAGCAAGAGCGGCGCGCGGCGAGGTGTACTTATTTGCCTGCAGCGGCCAAGCACGTACAGTAGCGCGAGAGGGTCTCGTGGGCGCGCCCCCCTCTCATCCGGAGCAACAGTCAGCTCTTGGGAGCTAGGCAGGTCACCAGGGCGCGGCCGTTGGCCGTATCACGACACGCGCACGCACGCGGCGTGGGTGGGTAAGTGGCTGGCCGACCGGCTGCTGGCTGGCGGGAGCGAAGGGAAGGGAAGGGAAACCCCTCACGGGCGCCGCCACTGCGCTCCCCGCGGCCATCCGGGCTAGTCGTCTGAAGATTAGGGGAGTGGGCGCGTGTGAGGCTTGGAGTGTGTGCGCGTGTGCGTGTGTGTGGTGGGCGCGCGGGAGTGGGTGCGGCGGCGGCGGCGGCGGCGGTGCGCCCCAACAAGATGCGTGCGCAGATCTGCACGCTTCGTGTTTGGCACGCGAGAAGAAAGAAGCTAGGAAGGGGAGGAAAATCGGTAGCTACGGTAGGAAGAGGTCACGATGGTGGCAGAGAATGCAAACGCACTAGGTAGGTAGGTAGGGGAGCGCGCTGTTGGTTGGCGATGGATGGATGAATGGATGGTGGCCTTTGCCAATGCCAATGCTAATGGCTAATGCCACCAATGCGCGCGCGCGCGCGTCGTTGGCGGAGGAGGGCGTCGTACTCTTTCGCCAGACCTTCCCTCGGCTGTGGACGCGCAAGCTCCTGACTGCCTGCTGTATGTAGGTAGCCGTCAGCAGGTACAGGACGGGACGCAGGGCAGGGCTGGTCTGGGGGAATTGGGGGCTAGAACACGGGGAGGGGGGGAAGCGGGATGCGGGTTGCGGGATCGCGGATTGCGGATGCGGCGGCGTGGCGTGCGTGCGTGCGTTGGGGCTGGCTGGCTCCCGTGCTCCGCTCCCGTAGGTCTGTCTGTACCTCGTTTTACCGACTCATCAAGGCTACTGACACCTGGAACTCACTAGCAGATGGCGGGAGCTTGGGGTTGGGGGGTGGGGAAGGATGAGGGCCGTGTGTGGCGTGTGGGTGTGCGGCGCCGCCGCTCCCTGTACCCCGCAATGAGCTGCAGCCCCAGGGCGTTTTTGGCGTGGGATGGGGCGCTGGCGGCCTTCTTCCCACCGTCCCTCCGGGCGCTCAACCCCGGCTTAGCCGCGTCTGCTTCTGGGGCGCGGGTGGGGCTCCGGAGGTGCAGCGTCCGTCCGCGGGCGTGGGGGAGGGGGGTTGGTTGGTTGGTTGGTACGCCGAGTGTTGGGCGTTGGGCACTCATACACTGCCCCAGACACTTCATCGCGGTGGCGAGAGCGAGGCCACGTAGGCGCCGGCCTCTGTCCTCTCTCTTGCGCTCTCTCTGTAAGCAGCGCGACGATAGACCGTTCGAGCTGCCGTCCTGTCTGTACACCTGGCCAGCTGCCGACTGCGCTGAGGGCGCGTCGCGTCGCGCCACCTTCCAATACTCGCTCGACTTTTGCTGTTCAATCAATCCCCGAGGGAGCTGCGAGCAGCGAGCTTTTTTCGGCCAAGGAGAGCCGCGCTATGGTATTCCTGAGCTACTCGCATCCCCCTCGATTTTCATAAGCAGATATGCGATCAGCGGGCGCTGTGGCTTGTCCTGTGCGCCGCCGCCGCCGCTTTTGCGGCTCTCTGACTCCCGTCTTTCTCACATGCCATGTTCACGGACCTTCTTGCGACGACTCCGGTCTCCTCCTCCGCATCTGCACGCCTGCAATCGTGCTTGCTCGGAAATTACTAGGCGCTATTTTTCGATCCTCGGGAAATGGCACATCATGGGAACATCAATTCTTTATTTTTTCTTTCTTTCGTTCTTTCTATTTCTATTTCTAAGCCGCGCGCCCTGGCCCTGCTGTCTTAAAGAGTCCAGACGCCTGATGGTTACCTGATCCCTCTCCCCCCCCCTGCCCGGTCGACTTATCTCCTGGGTCCTGGACGCGTGATGCCGGGAACAGATCACTCATCATGCCGGCATTGCGAGAAAGAGCTTCAAGGGACGTGGTACGTATTCGCAGGGAGCACGGCGGCTGTCGCAGCCTCGCAGGAGATAAGGAAATTGAAGAAACGGCATGCATATGCATGGAAAGAAAAAAGCAAGCACGACACCCCCACGATGCTGGTGAAGTGGGGCCAGAGACCCCAGTCCAGGAGTTTT